CACGACAAAGACATATTCTAATACAAAATCGCTCTACAAAAAAGGTCTCTTTGGTTTTTCCATAAAAGCATCCCTTTAAAAGTTATTCGCGGTCAAAGTTATGCACATAGTTTATAATCAAATTTTTCATCATTCACTGCAAATTTTAATTGTGCCTTTTGATATTGACTAAAAAATGATCTAGAGCCCTACTTTTTTCAATAAAACAATATTTCTTTACCAACTTTAATATGGAAAACTAATATTGCACTTATAAAACTAATATTGATCAATTGATCAAAACTATAATTTAAGGTTATTGTTTCATTGTCTTTCAGTGTTCGAAAATATGTGTGTCAATTAAAAAGAATGAACAAATTTCGAGTGGTTTTTATCTTAAATATTACTTGTGTAGAATTAATTAAAATTAATTTAATTAATTAATAATTTAATTTAATTAATTAACAACTTAATCTAATTAATTAATAATTTTATTCAATTAATTAATAATTTTATTTAATTAATTAATAATTTAATTAATTAATAATTGAAGTTAATTAATTAATTAATACTTTAATTTAGTTAATTAATTAAATTAAATTAATTAATGAATAATTTAATTAATTGATAATTTACTTTACTTTTTGTTGGCGAAACTGTATATTTGACATTACAGGCGACGTTTGACCAAGTTTGACATTGTTTAAAAAATAATTTGTGAACGTGGTTAGATTGAAGAGCCCAGGGGAAAAACTTGATAAGCGCCAATTTCTTAATTTTAAGATTTTACAATATTATAGTAGGTCTAACTGGTGCCTAAAAAATGTATAGATTCTGCAGGGTTAATAAGTTGTTAAATCCTATAATGTATGCCTAGTAAAAATATAGAATACACGGCAAGCACCTGTTATATATATATTTTCAAATGAAGGGTCCAGGGAAAAAACATTATCATGTTTTTTCCCTGGACCCTTCATTTGAAAAAATAGCATGTTTGAAAAAATTGTATTCAGAGTAAGAGTGTACGTTTTATGCCTCACCTGTAATTATCAAACGTACAGCCACGCTAAAAAGTATCAATTTTACTCGTAATAAAAAAATATAAATAGTGTTTTTCGAGGTGTATTTATTTTTTTGTCTCTCTAATAAAGCCTTTAAGAACTGACAAGGTACACGATTTTTTTACATTACACAGTACTACTGGAACTTGAACTTGGTACAACTGGTTGACAGTGACAATAGGATTTTAAAACATCAATTGAATCAATACAGTAAAATTGTTAATTCACGCTTGAATAACAAAAAAAGTCCCTAAATATAATACAATAAAAATTAAAACTATTCTAGTAGACAGGTTCAAGATGTGGCCCGTCCTGACCTCAAATCTATTTTGGTTTCTTATAAAAACACCAAATGTGTCTATTATTTCGACTCGAGTCACTAAACGCACCTAATACCGTTAACTGGAAGCACTGCCTCGAAATTTTCCGAATTTGGTATAATTAGAAATAAATAATAATACCTAAAGACATACTAGATTTCGTTTTTCTAATTTCCCTTAAAGGTCTTTTAAAAAATAGATATTTCGATCGCCGTCACGTATCCATGTTTGAACTATCAGATTTCAGATAATCAAAATAACAATTATTTATTGACTTGCTTCATTACAAATAGCAAACATACACGTAAAATTTATAACATAAAACACGCAAAAAAAACAATCACATTTCTGTAGTGTCGATCCTCTGGTTATACTGTACTCAGTGCTTCAGAATCTGAAATTTATTTTTTAGTATCAGAATATATTTTGGGTTTTGCCTTTCTATAATATCCATTTCTCGTTCTTCCTTTTCATCGTCATGTTCAATAGTTAATTCGTCATCTTCGTTCAAAGTCTTGCATGAGCTGTTGCAATCTTTCTTGGAGAGTACATCTAAAAAATAATACTTATTTAATAAAAAAGGCGATTATTCACTTTTTTATCACAATTTGCTCATTTTCAATTAAAACAAATTAGTAAAATAACTTACCTTGTTCGACATTATAAAATTATTGATGTAACAATAGTATCACAAACGGTCGCGCGAGGACTGACACTCCGCATATGAGTATAAAAAGATACTAACTACCCTAAACGATGTGCAAACTTACACTTCTCATAAAATATGCAGAGACAGGAAGATACTAAGCGGCGCAACATCTGATGTTTCCAGAAGTAAGAAGTTTCGAATTATCGGGAAAAATAGGTATCTGCGACGTCCGGAGGGTTAATATCAATGACCTCTAAATAAAGTAGACCCGGCATTTCATTCATAAAAAGAAAAAGATCAGAATCAGACATTCGTTTCTTGTTCTATGCGAGTGGGAACAAGACCGGCTGATCGCAGTCATGAAGGATTCCCGAGAGAATGGCAACGCTGTTCAGAGATCTTGAGAATGTGTGTCAGTGGCGTAGTTACTTTGATTGTAATATATAATTATTTAATATTATATTCTCGTAAATATGATTTTTGGATACGATATATTGTTGTGCTAGATGGCTCTTCAAATTTTGAAACGACTACTTCTATACTCCAATCACTTCTATACGAAAATAACTAATTGAAATTATGATATGCACATTTCCATAGTAATGTCTGTAAATTGCTCCAGTAGTAATATAATCCATCAAGCGTTCAATGAATACGAGCCGAAGACGACTTTTATAAAACATTTATGTGAATTAATGGTATTATTTTGATTGAAGCAACGGTGAAAAATGAGAATATTTTAAAACTGTCGTGACAAATTGCAATTTAATATTAGGTATAAAAATATTACTATTTATAACAACAATAATAAAGATCTTTGTTAAACTAAAGAAAATTTCTAAAATATTTACTTATTTCTGGATCAGTTTCTTCGCGGATAATCGGGACCTTGTACTGAATAAATAATTAACTACCTATTCAATAAAACATATTAAACAAAGACGCCATTTATCTTTTAAACTATATATATTTTTTTTAGTCTTAATAAACAAAACAAAAAATACATTCCTCTATTACAAAAATTATACTATCAAAAAAAAACGGCGTCAAAAATGACAATCGGTGATAATTTTGGCAAGGTGATATGTCATGACCCCTACTCTTGTTTATTTTTTAATGACACTTACTGGCAGTAGTACGCCTTAAGGTTGTATTTGATTTTTAAATGGTGTAATATAAATTCGAAAATTTTTTTTGGATATCGATTTGTGTTTCTGGAAATGTTCTATCCTTTTATAATTTTTCTATAATCAGTATTAGTTTTTGACAAATTTTATGTCAATTTTTAATAAATGACATCTAGAAATAGACCTCGCCAAAATTATATTCGATTGATATTCCTAGCAGTCTTTGACGCCGTTTTTTTTTCGATCATACGGTATTTAGTATGTAATATCCATTATATAAATCTATTTTGATTTTACACTTAAAAATCATCTTTAATAACTAAAAATCCTAATAACAATCAGTATGTTCGAAAAAAAAGGCGTTCAGTTGGCTTAGAAATGAACATCGATGACATTCCCCATATACGCCGTTTTTTTTTCGATCATATGGTATATCACTATTGAACATTTTTCGTAATTGTGACATCTTTAATTTTTTTATATATTTTTTCAACAAATTAATATTCGCATTTGTATACTTGGTTTTGATAATATTTAAATATTATGTTCAAGATATTCAATAAAACCAAACGTGACGAAACTAACTTAATGTAATGGTTCATTACTTATAACGGGATATTCCAAAACTGTGTGATTTACTAATATTTCCAAAGATTTTTTCCTATTTTACCTTTCGGCACCGCACTGATGTAACATAGCCTTACTCACCTTCGAAATCAAACTTCTAGGTTTAAATCGTCTCTATTTTTGCAAATTAAGCAAGTTCGCACCATTGTCTTATAGTTTCTGAATAAAATCACTAGAAATAATACCACAAAACACTAAAATATCTGGAAATCACCTCATAAAACATTTCGAAAAACCACAACACATTGGCAACGCCGTAAAGCAATTTATGAACGAATTCGAACTGGATGTTTTGTTGGCTGCCTGAATTTAGGAGTAAAGATAGTAAAATGCGTACGTTTTCAGTATCAGCTGGCGTTGCGACGTTGTCGATTGTTTTATGTTAAATTTCTTAAAATCTAAAAATTATAATTACAGAAGATTTAAATAACGGCTAATGCTGATTGGGAGTAGTTCGTGATACTAAGCTACCTTTAATTATTATCGGTTTAAAGTATTATTCTACGACGTAATCTATATTTGGAATTCCTGGTTTACAATGTGGGTTAGCTATCCCCGTACGTATACGTAGGTAAGATTTCCTTTTAAATGCGGTCGAAGTGGAAATTTGGCATACATGCTATTTTCTAAGGCAATGATGGATTTCGCCAAAATGTAAGTCGCCGGGTCTAATTTATTTCGATGTCATTGGTTAATATACATTTTTAGACACTCTCTATAAGGTAGTATTTTGTTTATTATTGCAACACAATATTTGATCAATAAATAAACTTCAGTAAATATTTAGTGTTAAAACTTTGATACCCTTGGAGAAATGAAGCCTTAAAATGTTTACTGCAATATCATAAAATTAAAAATATTTCAAAAACGGTAAGGTTTAAATGTGATAAACCTAAATCAAATTTACCTTTATTTCAATCGTAGAATCTAAAAATAGAATAATATACAGGGTGTTCCATTTAAAAAAATAAAACTATAATATTTTTTACATATTTGGGACACTCTGTATCTTGTAAAAATATTGTTAAATTGTAGCTCTAATAGTCCTTCAACGAACCCAAAACTTACAATTTGTAAAAATCTAATCGTTTAGCTAGAATAATCCGTATGTGGTGAACAACCCTGTATACATGAGCTTCATAGTCCATGTTATGACGTCACCATAAAATGTTATAATAATATTTTACTACAATATTTATAAATATTTTATATTAATCTGGTTTTTATTCTGTTTCAGGGATCCAACGACGATCTTCCGCGGTAATACCTTAGTTTCTAAGATGATGGATGAGGCGATGCGGCTCATCGGACTTCAGTACCTTCACAAAACCCTCCGGCCTACCCTAGAACTTATATTTAGCGAAAAGAAACCGTGCGAAATCGATCCGACGCGAGTCAAGGATCCGAATACGATCCAAACCAACTTAAGTAATTTAAAGTTTTACATTCAGAAGATTTTCGACGATATTACGCAGAGCGCTGTCCATTGTCCGGCTCTAATGTGCCAGGTCTTCCATAATCTTAAGGAGTGCGCTATAACTTATTTTCCAAATAATAAAGAAGTGAGGTGAGTAAATATTTTTTCTTCAAAATTTTACACGTATGTTCTGGTTAAAGTGTTTGGTTCGCTAATTCATAGCATATCTAGAGAGCAGAATTAAACACTAATTCGCCTCAATAAACCAAAACACTTTACTTTTACTCTGGCATCGTCAACAGATAATTAATAGGTACTATTAAAACTAATAGTTGTAATCATCTGCTGAAGAGGTTAACATGGTTAGCGAAACGCGCGTCCAACAAAAAGTAAAATATTTTGGTGTATTGTGGTGAACTAGTATTTGATTTTGCTGTTGTAATACCAAAGGTTCCAACCCTCAACTCTAATTATCTGCAGAGTATTATCAATCAATTATTGTTTTATAATGTTACAGTAAAAGTCAGAAATCCAATAAATGTTAACAATTACTAGGAAATAATAACAATTACGCATTGGACTACTTAATATTGAATTTTAAATAAATTTGTTTACTTTTACTAGTTATTGTTAACACTCGTTAGTCAGAGTAACATTTACTAAAAATTATCAGTAAAAGTCATTATATTGTACAATAAGGAGTGTGTTGGTGTAAGTTGGACCAAATAAAATTTATAAAAACATTGCATCACCTCCATGTTTAATTTAAGCTGATCCACTCATCTTAAAATTACAAGAAAACAATATAGCGCAGTCAATCTGGAGGTTGAGGTGGAAAAAATTAGTAACCAACCAATCTCAACGAGAATATGTAGATAATTACCCCCTCATTAATCCCTTAAAAGTCCCATTCGGTCCCAGTGGGTCAAGTTTGAAAAAAAAACAGCTGCCATCTTAGATTTTTTCGTTTTTATCAAATATCTCCGTTTGTATAATTTTATTGGAACATACTAAAGAGACATTTTTAGGAGCTAAGAGACGTAGAGAATTGAATTTGAGATATATTATTTTTTATATGTTTTCCTCTAAAGTAAATATTAACGGAGATAGAGCTATTTTTTAGTGTATTTGTTAGATATTTTGCACTTTTTGAAACCGTAAAAACTATAATATTTACTTTAATAGTATATGATTAATACAGATAAACCAAGAATAAATTTAAGCATTAAAAAAATATAAAAATAAGGGTTATTTAGAACAAATAAATGTATGTGCCATACATACAATCCTCATACAATAAATAAAATCTGCTATGACGTCATCACGAACGTCATTTTCGTCCTTAACTAAAAAACAGAATGTTTGCAACTGATTCCATAACACTGACTACTGACCTTCGAAGAACATTTGAGACCCATATTTCTACAAAAATAGTGCTTACAGCTTACAGTCTTCAATTACAAACATTTTTAGTAGGTCAGGAGGCATTTTAGTAGGATAGATATGAAGTTCCTTTTTGATCCTTTTTTCACCCATACTCCTAAGAAACTAATTTGAGTAATTTGTTATCAATCCATTCTAGAATTTAAAAAACACAACTTATCACTTACTCAATAATTCGTTGTACCTTTATAATTAAGTTACCCTAATTAAGGTGCCCGGTGGCGTAGAGGTACAGGCTCTCGTATACCAATCTCAAGGTAGTGGGTTCGAATCCTACACCCGGCATTTCATCAGCCGACTATTTTTATTAAAATCAAAATAGTTTGGGTGCCTAGGTCGACTCAGCCTTAATTGAGCAATTGGGATTCACAATCTTGAGGTAATAATAGGCAGTTGAAGCATAGTGCTAGCCACATTACCTTCCTTGTCTACCAAACGGCTCTAGCATGGCAAGCTGTACCTTGCTACTCCCCAGGCATTAAACGCTATATACGGGAGCTATTATTATACCTTTATAATTACTGCAAATATATCCTGAGTAGATGGAGTTGTGCAGGGTCCTCAGTAATAGGTAGGGAACTAATTTAAAGGTAGACTTTATGCCGGTTAAAGAAAAACGTCTCATTAATGCTTATATTTTTCGAAAAAAAAAGTATACAAACTGAGATGTAAACTGAGAAAAAAAAACGAAAAAATCCAAGATGGCGGTTTTCCCCCACTAGTACCGAATAGAACTTTTGAGGGATTAATGAGGAAATCATTATCCAAACATTCCCGCTGAGATTGGTTGGATACGAACTTTTTCCACCTTTATATACTAGGGCTGACATTTCTGGTCTTGGGTGCCGATTTTCATCTGTACGAAGAGTATGGTCAACATGCTTAGAAAAATAAGATAAGAGCTATTGAATAAAGACAGAAGGCAAATATTTTCCCAAGCACATGGAATTTAGCGTCAGATTAAGTGGTTATGCAATAAAGACTTCGTATTTTTGCTCTCTCCGACTTACTAGATTGCAATACCGATTCACTCCTATACATGTAAACGCCGACCCAAGGTTTCGCTTGCCAGCAGGGTATAACATATAATACTCGGCCACGTTTACTATTCTCATAAAACAGCAACACCAAAATTTAAATACCTACTAATACTACACAAAGGTGCACAACTGAGTTTTGATTTCTTCGTTTTCAACCTTTTTGGCGATTCAGAGTTTTTTATTAATTTTAATAGGAATTTTGAGAATAATTTTCAGTCACCAAGGGCTACTACAAAAAAAGATAAAAAAATAATTTGAATGACATTCAGTAGTAAAAGCTTGTTTCAAAATTTGTTGTAGAACTTTTCCTGGCGTAGTGTTACTAGTAATTGTTAATATTGACTGATTTCTGGCTTTAATATTAGCATATAAAATGGTGATGTCAATTTTCTTTGAAATACAAAAATTCTATTTCTAAGTTGATAATTCAGATTGGCCCTACTATATATTTTTTTTGTTAATTTAGATATTCAGTGATATCAGGATTCATATTCCTACGGTTTTTTGCTCCTGCCATTTTGGGACCTAGATTATTTGATCTGACTACTCAGGCTATTGACTGCCAAACCAATAGAACGCTTACTCTTATATCTAAGACAATCCAGTCTTTAGGAAATTTGGTAAGTTTTTTTGGGTTTATTCTGATTAAATGTAGTTAATTATATTGTTGCAGTTATAATTCAAAAAACTACTTGATAGTAAATTCACATTACCAATAGAAAACTGTGTTGTTTCCGGAGTAATTTAAGTTTTTTTTTCTATAATAGATTCTGATAAATTCAGAATTCTTTCTTAGTAATATTTTATATGACTTATGGTTCGTCAATTAAAACCAAAAAGAAGAGAAATCAAAGTAAAATTAAATCAAATACTAAAGCAGATAGAAAATTTCAAAGTACCTAACTTTATTTTTTGTATATACTAGGTAAGCTGTAGGTCGACGCAACCAATGTGTAAAGAGGAGTATATGGATTGTTTGTACAAAGCTTTTTGTACGGATACTCACAAGACTGCGATGAGAAAGTTCCTGGAAATTATTTCGGCAAATACTTCAAGTCCGCAGACTATTGTGAACGACAAACCTGTGACTCTGAAAGAAGGGTAAGATGTTACTTCCTACTTATGTCATATCATCGAAAAAAAAACGGTGTCAGAGGCGGCTTGGAAATGAAGATTGCTGACATTTTGTATGTAAAATTATATGGGGAATGTCATCGATGGTCATTTCTCCGCCAACTGGACGCCGTAATTTTTTTTCGATCCTATAGTATGATGCAAACATGTTTTAATAACAAGTGTGGTTTGTGTGATGGCAGATAAAGAACTATTATGTGAAAATCCTTACACTGGAAGTTTCTATAAGTCTCAGAACCATTTTTATCATAAAACTTTAATTGTGTTGCATATTATACCATTTTCTCTGTTTATTCTACCATATTATGGCACAAACACCGTTCAATTGGTTGCAGCCAATAATGTGCCTTGAATTTCAGACAACATTAGAATCCCGAAAATTGGAAATAAATATAACGAGATAAATAAAATCCTGAGGAAGACAAATAAGACAATATAATACACTATTCAAAACAATTATCGCATATTTGAATAAAAGTATTTATTACATATTTCTAAATGAAGCATGCATTTGTCTGCCTTTCTCCTGTGAGTTTTTTTAGGATAATTAGGGTACGCATTGACATATAATTTTTAGTTGGCCGACTATTTAGTTACAAAAGTGAAAACAATACATTCTTATGGAGCCGATCGGCCCATTATTTGATTACATTGAATACGTAGCCTTAGGCTATGCGCTGACAGGCAATTTTTAATCGGCCGACTATTTAGTTGCATATTTGTAACGAATATATCCTTATGGACCCGCGCTCACATACAATCAAATACTCTGCCGATCGGCTTCATAAGTATGTATTGTTTTCACTTTTGCAACTAAATAGTCGGCCGACTAAAAATTACAGGTTAGCGCGTAGCCTTATTGTATCGAATTCCCCTCCACAGTATCCATACTATTTAAAATCGTAAGTTAGGGAATTCAAAGTGTGTTATTTTTCCAATTAATATTCTTTTTAGAAAATATGCGATAATTGTTTTGAGTAGTTTAATTGTCGATACGTCGACTTCCTACTAAGTACTAAAAAGCCGAAGTTATATTTGACCCAGATCCTAGCGTACAAAGTACGCTAGGATCTGGGTAGATCATAGATCAGATTAGCTACAGTAAAAGTTGGAAATCGGTGATTGTTAACAATTACTAGTAAAAGCTCACATTCACTGATTTACTAAGACTACGCCAGTAAAAGTTTAATAGCTATTTTTGAAACCAACTTTTACTAGTGAATGCTAGCATTCCCTAGACTCTCGACGATAGCAGTGAGTTTGAAAAATTCAGTTAGCGCGGTTGCCACATGTTGTAAAATATATGGATGAATAAAAATAAGTTGAATTAAGCATATAAGGATAATATTAGATTGGGCTAAACGTTGGCAACGTTGACAGACATCTGTCGTAAATTCGCTTCGTTTTTTGTGGTTATGTATAATTGTTTTGTTATCGTTGTAAAAAGTGCTGTGCGGTATTTTCCCTATGGAAGAAAATTTCTGTGGTAAAATTAAGGTAAACTAGGCACTTGCAACAATATAATAGTGCTTGTTTTTCATTTTTTGGCATACAATGAAGTCATAGTAAAAGTTAAGCATGCAAGATAAAAAGATATTAAGGAACCTAGTGACTATGAACTTATCAAACGTTTTGATATGCTTGAAGTAGCGGGTTTGAAGACTTAACTTTCGTTGAAGAAAATTCGGGCATACTTTATTTTGTCCAGGATGAAGAACTTTATTAAAAAAGCCTTGTACCAATAAGAAATCTTATGTTTATGAATGTTTTTTTTTTAAATTGTTTTGTACACTTTAAAATGTTTAGTACGATTTCCCTTTTAATATTTAGAAGGTTATATTATTTTCTATAATTTGTAATAAATAAACTAAAGAAGTAAATTGTAATTTTAAGATATGTGGATCAGCTTGAATATTAAGGCTATCCAATATTCTTAAAAGTTTTGTTTGTTCTAACTTCCACCAACATTCTTCCTCAACACACTTACCCTGTACAATAGAATAACTTTTACTGGCAACTTTTAGTAAATGTTAATTTCACTAGTGAATGTTAGAAATTACTAGGAAAAGTCGACAAATCTCTTTAAAATACCACGTTCACTGGTCCAATGCGTAATTACTAGCATTTCCTGGCGAATGTTAACAATCACTGAATTTCCGACTTTTACTGTAACATAGCATTATAAGTTTTCATCTGTTTAAACAACTTTCCAAACGTTCAAAACTATTTCATTCAAAAACTTATGATTAAATGCAGGAATATAAGAGTCTTGAAATTTAAGGGCTGGTTATTATTATAATATACCCTATGATCGAAAAAAACCGGCTTTAAATACGGCTGGGGAATAACAATCGATGATAATGTTGGTGAGGTCAATTTAACTTAAACTGATATGAAACTTGACACTAAATAAAGAAAGATTAAAAAAGCCTAGAAAGTTCCCAGGCACACAAATATATTTCCAAAAAGAATATGTTTTTTCGTATTTTCAACTACACCATTTAAAAATCATTTTACTTAATATAAAAATAAATTACAACCTTTTTAAAAGCAACTGCTAGTAAGCGCTATTAAAAAATAAAGAGTGCAGGCTAAGTAAATGCATCTAGGGCTTGACTTCGCCAAAATTATCATCGATTGTCATTCCCCAGCGGTTTTTGATGCCATTTTTTATCGTATGGTACAAGTAATGTGGCTTCGTTACGTTGACGGTACAATTTTATAACACTAGGGATTATACCTATTAGAGTACTAATATTTTATTCTTTTTTTGCTGCAATTTGCTTAGGGAAATTAAAAGGTAAAATCCTTACTCAAACTTTATTTTTTACACCTAATATAATATTAATAATCTTTACAGATTGATGATCAAGAGAGCTCAAGGAAGAAAAAGATTTGGCAGAAAAAACTTCAAGCAAAGATACTTTAAACTAACTACTCATAATTTAAGTTATTCAAAAAGCAGAGGTAAAGAAATAAGCATCGTTTTGAATTTCAGTACATAAAAGAAATCTTATTGTAGGAAAAGAAGCGTTATGTGAGATACCTCTTTCGAACATTTTGGCTGTTGAACGGCTAGCAGAAACATCTTTCAAGATGAAAAACATGTTTCAAATTGTACAACCAGAAAGGGCTCTTTATGTTCAAGCTGCGAATTGCGTTGAAGAAAAGGAATGGGTAGATCTGCTAACAAAAATCTGCCAAACGAATGCAAATAGATTAGAAAAGTATCATCCCTCGGCTTTTATAAATGGCGAATGGATGTGGTAAGTAGCAATTTAGCTAAAAACATAATTAATTGAGAAAAATGTTTTTATTATATCAATTATTTATCATTTAGCAATAATTAGTGTAGTGTGTCCAACAAGAGAGTCTGACAGCGATAGATGTTTGTCATTTTAATTCAAAGATACATTATATTCTTTGGACAAACTTATTATAAGTGAAAAAAGATAATTTGATTCTCTAGATTTCCAAATTCTGATTTTTTAAAAATTTAATGACGTATTTATACAGAGATAGCCAGAAATTTAGCAACAAATGGAAAAAATGACCTCGCCAAAATTATCATTGATTGTTTTCCCCAGCCGTCTTTGACTCCCTTTTTTTCGATCATACGGTTGTTCAGTACTAATAAAAAGAAAACATATTGAATAAATTTAAAGTACACAAGAAAAAAAAATATTGTTTTGGCAACATTTATGGTGTCAAATTAAAAAAGTCATATTGCAGTAAATAATGTGCTAAGTGTCAAAATCATTATTTTGAGATAAACATTTTTTTATATAACCAATGTATAAGAAAGGGCAGTGTCCCTGTTGAGAATTTTTTTCGATACAATTTAATAGCCATGGCACTTAGCCTTTATACAGGGTGAGTGCAAATATTTTCAAGGCTGGTAGATCTCAATAAAAAAACATATTTTCTCTGTACCGTTTTTCAAATAAGTTGAAAATAACCGAGATATTTTACTTTGAAAATAAAAAAAAATAATTTTCGCTTAAATTTGAGAACTACTTGATCTTTTCTGGGTTTTCTTTCTTGTAAATTTAATCTACCATTAAAGATATTATGTTTTTTAACAAAGATTGTTTCCAAAAAAAAATCAAAAAATTTCAAATTTTAAATTTTTTTCGCGAAAAAACCTCATAGACTATTTTCATTTTTCTGTTTCAGTGTCGAGTTATCTTTGACATTTTATAGACAATAGGCTTAATAAATACACGAAAAAAATTGTTATAATATTTGAAAAGTATTAATAAGTGCAATTTGTAAATAAGTCTTTTTTGATATCTTCAGAAGGTCTTACGTATATTATAATTTATTACTCAAGCTTAACTAACTTAACTACGGTAGCGATCATACTTTTATGCACCGGTTTTGCTAGTTGCGATATACCTGGGGCTATCTGGACTGATCTGGACTAACGAAAATTTTTAATGGTACATAATTATAATTTTAGGACACGTCCATAACAATTTAAGCCCTAGTTGATTAAAAAGAAGTATACTATTAATATTGACTAAATTGTAATTTATCCTAATTATATATGATAATTTAATTTTTTGATTATGTAATGGACACTTTGTTCACTCATTTGTTTTCTCAAACTGCTTTAATCCGTTTTTCCTTTTTAACAAATTGGTGTGATAATGCTGAGAAGTTCTAAAATGTTGTTCCGGGAAAGTTGTATTGAGAGTTATTGCACTAAACAACCAAGCAGTTATGCTGTACTTTTCGTGTCGACATTTTTTCGTCAATTTTATTGTTTGAAATTGGTACAACATAACGCGTCGCCCGTTTGGGCTTTTTTCGCTTAATTTTTACTACCCGTTTCACACACACTTCGTACCTGAGAATTTTATAATTTCAAAAACTCCACTAGCAAAAACTAAAATACTTAAATATTCTGACAAAGTCACGATTTTAATATTATTTCAATGTAATCAACAAGAACGGTAACCTGGTCTGCGTGAAATACAGAGCCGGAAAGTTCTGATTTCTGCCGTACCGAGGGCTGCTTTCGAAATTTTAAAAATCAACTGAAATGCACCAAGCCTATAAAAATCCTTCACAAAAATACAGACGTTATTTAAAGAGAAATATTTTTACAGTTGCAAATCACCCAACGAACTTGCTCCTGGCTGCAGTCAAGTATCCCAGACAGACAGTAACAATTACCATATGACTCTGGATCCGGAGAGGGATCTTCAGCGCGTTCACTCACTAATCATCGCGCATATACAGCACCTAGAAGCCTACATTCCTGTACTTCAAGATCATGCAGTTTGCGACGTAATGAAGCAGCTTATAGACGTGGCTTTCAATATCGAGTACCAGCATCGAATTTATAAACGAACTTTAGATAGAAACACTAAATATGGCAGCTTGTAAGTCTTTCATTTTTTGACGTTAACTATAAGACATAGATAAAGAAAATATATTTAGATTGGAATCCTCGGCTTCCCGCCAAAACTTATAATTAAAAACCCCATAATGGGGCCCGTGCACATGTCGGGTATGACTTAAATTTTTATGATTTCAAATCAGTTTGTAGAAATTCCATCTGGACAGTACTTAAATTAATTATTGAAATTCGCCTGGCGCGAAGACGAGGTTTGACATCATAAAATGTTAAAAATTTCGGCTCGCGGCGGACGCATTCCATTTAAATAAGGTGTTTCAGCTTGTTAGCTCTGACAGAACCAGTGTTGCCGGAATTGAATGATTTTACAGTCAAATTTCGCCGATTAAAGGGATTAAGGATTTTTATCAAAAAGAAGACAATATGAACGTTTCTGGCAGTTTTGCATAATAAAAATTGTTAAAATATGTAGTATGAATATTTATTGTTTTTCCAATTCTATTTTTTCAACGGTGTTTAATTAAAGATTCCTCAGTTTAAAGCAATTCAAAAAGTTTGCAATTCGAAAGATTTTAACATTTTACAAAAAAATAATTGATAGATTTGTATCTTTCAACACGTCTTATTACAAACATATCATAACTAAACCAAAGTTCTTGATGTTGGAAAGAAATTAATAGGTAAATGGACCACATCTATCTAATAGGTAAATCAGCTGATCATGGCGTCCTGCACGATTAATTATTTTCGATTAAGGCAGTCATTTTAAGCAATTAATTTTTTGAGACATACTTTATAATACTGCTGTCGAGTATCTACCACAGCAATCGTGTTTTTTTTAATAAAAAGTGTAATTAAATACATCAGTGTTCAAGAATTACCCGAAAAAAGTTTTTAAAAAAATTATCTTAATTATAAAATAGGTAAAATACGCGAAATTTGTTGATTTCTCACAAGATCTGGAATGTTTTGTGAAGATGAAGGAATATGAAGGGTTTTTAAGGTTCCGTTGAAGAAATTTGCTCTAAAATTTCTGGCAACACTGCTCGATTTACGCACGAACCAAACCAAACCAAAACAAACGTCATTTCAAATTTAACTTATAAAATAATTATTTTACGCGTTATAATTATTCACAAACCAAATGCTTCTTTTTCAAGGTACTTTCTTATTACTATACTTGTTGACAAGTTGTAAACATAAATCGTGTACCTACCTACCTATTTACTTTTCCTCCTCCAATTTTCGCAGAAGCAAACAAAATATTCTGCGAAAAATAATGGGTGATCATCGTCGAATCTACTTTCTGTAAATTATCTGATTGGGCTTTATTATAATGAGTTCTGTCATGATTCTAATAAACTGAAACACCCAATGATATCTAAATAAATTTAAAAAATCTGAATAAATTAGAAAATTTATTTATTTAGATGTCATATGTCATTGGGAATACTTTATTTAAATGGAATGCGTCCGCTGCGAGCCGAAATTTTTAACATTTTTAACGTCACGCCTCGTTTTCGCGCCAGGCTCCACATTGCGAATTTCAATAATAATTAATTTAAATACTTTCCAGATGCAATTTGTACAAACAGATTTTACATATATGTATATGTTTTAGGCAAAGATGTATTAGAAATCATAAATATTTAAGTTTTACCCGACACGTGCACGGACCCCATTGTGGTAAAGTGGCATTAAAAAAAAACTAAACAGCTGTGTGAACTGGGACCTGCAAAAACTATCGTTGCATAACATTTCCAAAAAATGATGTCATATTTTTTAACCGTGAATTAATATTGTTAAATCGGAAACACTGCTGTTTTTACAGTTTTTTAATATATTTTGTGTATTTCATACATGTCCTTATACAGGGTGGTCCGAACTGTATTCCTGAAACTTCGGCAGCATATTCTGCAGATAATAATAAGTAAAAAAGTTTGTTAAAAGTTTGTCCTAAAATGCTTAGCTTCTGAGATTTTTTTATTTCAATTTTTTCCAAATTATTTCTGAAGTAACGTCAATATTTGAATGAAAATTGGTGTAAATTTTTCTTCGAAAAAATGATGATAAAACAGTTTCTGTTGAACTTTTGGCACAAAAACATTTCAAATTTAAGATTTCAGTCTTATAACTATTTAGTCAACCATGTTTAATTTATATAGAAAATAGAAAGGAAATTTCTACACCCTGTATCTCCGAAACTAAGCATTTTAGGACATAATTTATATGAACTTTTTTACTTATTTTTATCTGCAGTATATGCTGCCGAAGTTTCCGGAATACAGTTTGGACCACCCTGTACAAAATAAAGTTTTTCGTATGCAACAAACAGTATTTTATGCATAAAATTAAAAGGAAATAACAATAAATATGAACAAACTATTTGACGACATAATTACGAAAAAGCCGAACGTTCCGAAACTCAAAAATTTTGTATCGCGTCCGCTCCAAGATCAGCGCTAAATAGTATTTACATCGTTCTTATGGGATCAATTTCCAATCTGAACTTGTTTCATTTCTCTATACTATTAGAATATAATTATTTTTGTTTTGTAGGGAAGCTCCAATTGGAGATGATAATTATCTGCTGGCTTCTCGAATGAATCTGGATAAGCAAGTTCTACTGCGATGTGCACCCACAGATTCTTCGGTATCTTGAAAGATCTATAGATATTTTCCTATTTTATCATCTAAATACCGTTTTGATTATTTTACTATACTTCCGTATTAATCAAAATGGCATTGTTCAAAAAATTTAGACTTTGATGTGAACCGAAATAAGAAATACAATAAAAACTTACGTGAGCTATGAGAAGTATTCTCGAATATTTATTTTTTGTTGTGATATTGGTGTCAGTGATAAGATTTTTTACAAAAGAATCTAGTGCCTTTAGGTGTATAAAAAATTATAAACTATTTTTAGCAAACTTAAGATTATAAAACTTTACAAATAATGTGAATGTTTTTAATAAAGTTTTTGAGAAACAAGTCTGCTGATCGTATGTCGACGAAATGCGTTTTGTTGGCTAATCGAGAAGAGTAGGAATGAAGGGCATTACAGTATATTCCCTGAAAATCCATTAAAGTCTAAATTTTTTCCAAAATATACTATTATATAGTAGAGTTATATAATATATAGCGTAACTGACCTAAGTTTTAGATTCTCAATTTTTGAAGACTGTTCTAATATTATATAATCGTAAAACACCATCCTTGTATTCTAAAATCTTAGTCCTATGAATTTCACATTTTTCATATTTTGGAGTATATGAGGTATTTTCTAAATCTGAATTACTTTGAATATAGGCTTATGACGTATTATTTAGAGATATTTTTCATTTATACGCAAATGTGAATTTGGTTTTAAGTTTTGTGTAGGGATGTGGATCTCAAGATACAAAATTTTATAACCATAATGTTTGTGTAGAAAACAGCTGTTGCCTAATAAAGTAATATGGCCAAAACACCTCATATACTGAAATAATAGTAATATCCTAAAACTCCTTTAAATTTGACAATCAGTCTTTAACGATTTTGTGCAGATTGCAAAAGCAAAACTATAACTTTATGTTTTATTAAGAATTTCAATAAAAAAAGATTCAAAAGAAAATAGGCTATTTGAACTCTGGATTTAAAAGGAATGTCTTAGTTCTGTTTTTTTTTAATAATTATTATATTTTGATACTTCGTAATAGTCCAATTCCTCTATTGGGGGAGTTCCAATTGCCATTTGTAGTAACACTTTGGACAGTTAATGCAATAGCATTAAATAATATGTTTACTACACAAATAGGTCTATAAACTTATACCTTTTAAGATAAAAACAGGGGGTTTGTAACAAATGCGATTTTTATTGTTGAGTTTTTGTTTAGGCCAGGATTTCTCCAACATGTCTAATCACAAGAGAAATAAATTAGATATACTTGTCAAGCGACAACTGTCATGCTGGCAAATAAGAAAAGTCTTCTACACATATGCGAAAAGTGGGGTTAGGAAACATCATATCGAAATATGTCAACAAGGAAACCTGTTAAGAATTTGATTCTACGTCTATGTCTCCAGAGATAATAGTTTATTGATTATTTAAATAATATATATATTTTACATTATATTTTTAGTATGAATAACATAAAACAAAGACAAACCTATATTTAATAATAATTTTTAATGCAGAATTGTATTTACTGTTCTTACTTCTCTCTTACTGTTTTACTGTTCCACAATAAATTATAAAAAACTAAAAATATTGATTTTCAAACTGCCGGTTTGTTTCAATGGTCTATGGAAATTGAAAATTTAAACTAAACGCCATTCAAAATACCTCTATACCATCCCATACTCTATGCTAAACAAAAAATGCAATACTAAGTAGTTCCTTTCTCTAAGTCATTGTAACGTAAAGTTTGTTATCTCTAAAATTGACATATTTTTATTGTTAACTATTATTACAAAATAGTAAAGACTGTATGCTGTATTAGGAATTGTTTCTGTTGGATGTAAATTGTTTTATGTCATTTTATCAAAAAAATATATTTAGAAAATCTTCGGAAATGAGCAAAGTTGATATTTGAAAGTCCTTGTACATTTATGAAACTTACATTTGTACACTATTAATACATAGATATCAAATCGAATTATGAACAACGATATTTTGTCAATAAACTCCAATTTTTGCATATTTATGTAAAGATGATTTTTGATTTACCGCTATGATAGTTGATAGTTATGACATGACATATCCCAATGTGTCTTTATATTTTTGGGCATTCTCTAGTACACAAACTTAATCAATAATTAAATATTAAGGTGCGTTCATACCGGCTGCGCCGCGCAAAGCATTTTTTAACATATACTTTTGAAGCGTATTTTTTTTAGCTTGCACAAAAGTATATGTTAATAAAATGATTTGCACGGCGCGCCGCGGAGTGGCGCAGCCGGTATGAACGCACCTTTATAAAAATCCCATTGTTGCCCCGTATTTTAAAACATGCAGATGCATGTAAATTTTACTTCTGTTGATGTTCATGAAATAACAGTTTTATTTTTTAGTAATACTTTTAACTTCTTTAAGTTGTTTGAATCCCATTCATTTTAAACTGTATTGGTTTGTCGACCTATATTAAAGAATCTTTTTATATTTTTAAGTTTTTTCAACGGACAAAAATTGGACAATCTGCATATGTGCATCCATATAATTAAAATTACTCAAGCCGTTATAATTTGCCAGCTATCTGTACAATGTTTTTTTTTTATTTTTGTTTTAACGAATAAGTACAAATTTGTGTCTTAGATAATGTTTGTATAAGTAGCATTGTAGTTCTATCATAAGCAATAAAATGAAATAGAGTGATTAATATTAAGGGCAGGTTGGTCTTCCAAATCACCTGAAATTGCCGTAATAACGACATTTTTTACTATTTTTTTAGCTATAATTTTAGCTGAGTAAACATAATTTTTTTTATCATACACGAGGTGTTCTCTCCTGAACGAAAATGCATGCTTCAATTGATATAAACAAAAATACATTATAAAGATTCTGAAAGGCAGAAACAGTATTAAAGTTAATGGGGCCATTGAGTTTAATACTAATTATATTAATATCACCTTATTAAATTAGTATTCTAGACAGTATTCTACATTTTAATCGTTTTTGAAAAATTTCGATTTTGTGTCAAAAGAAAAATATTCGCAGTGTATTTTTTAACAAATTTATATAGCCATTCGCTTAAGGGTAGGCTTAAATAACATTTAATTTTGTTGGTGTACATTCACTGAGTTTTAATTTCTAACTCGCTGATGTTTAATTACTTTGTGTGTCTGTCTATCTACTGGTTATAAGTTAGGTATCTATCTTTGTCTTACACGTTAAAATACAGACCATTGATTTAGAATGATTAGGCCAGTATATAAAAATTAGTGTGATTTCATGACAAGTGATTCTTTTAATGAAATTGATTGACATCAAAAATAAAGTAACTTGGGGTAAAGTTGGGGGGACTATGTTTGTAGATATTAATATTAGTTTTTAAAATATTTGTATCGTAACATTTTCTTATTACTAAAATGTTTCATTAGGCATAAACAAGGGCGGATACAAGAATTTATTTTAGGGGGAACCCAAATAAAAAGTAATGTAGAATATGCTTTTTAGGGCTCCATTTTTAAGCCAAATTAAAATATAAACACATAGATTAAAGGGGGGGGGAGAGGAGATAAGGCCCTATGGCGCCCCTCTGTATCCGCCACTGGGCATAAAAATAATTTATATATCATGACTAATCTTCACGCTCAGTGTAAAAAAAAGTGCTAAGGAAATACCGTACCGATCATAAGATCAAAAAAAAATAACGTTGGTTTGGAAATGACCATTGATATTAACATATAGTTTTACATATAAAATTATACAATTCTTATTCTCAAACCAACTCTAACAAGGTTTTTTTGATTGTATGATATATAACTACAGTTGGGAACAGCTACTCAAGCGATTCAGTTTTTCAAAAATTTTATTTTAGCACTGTTGTTTAGCTAGTTATGCTTTTTAAACTACTTGTATGCTTAAGGAGATAGAACTTTGTAATAGAAAAATGTTATAAAACATTATTAAAAAAATTAAAAAGGTATATGCACTGTTTGTGCACTAACTAATGCACTTTATATTTGAGCCTAATCAGTATCACGTTTTTATAAGCATAAGAAATAGATTTGCGTTTTACAACTGTAATTTTTGATGTAAAATAGAAAATTATTTTTGCTTTAACGAATTGTAGGTACTGTAGTTTTGAAATTGTTCTGGCCGTCTGGTACCTATCGACATTAATACTGTCTGTACTGTAAAAATGATCGAAAAAAAAACGGCGTCAGTGTTAGTTATGAAATGAAGATTGCTGTGTGTCATTTAATATATAAAATTATATGGGAAATGCCATCGATCGTCATTTCCAAGCCAACTGGACGTCTTTTTTACGATCATACGGTACTATTTGATATATCAGTTAAAGTGATATTCGGCAAAATATCCTGTGTAAAGTGTATAATTACACAGAAGTGTTATATTTATGATTATCTCTTAAAAAAATAGGGAAAATGTCGATCATTAGGTGGCTTTAAGGTGGTGGTTATGACTCTGGTATCTTCGAGGATGGGACTGATTCGAATTCGATAAGAAAAATGTATGCTCTCTTTTTTATGTCGTTTTATACTTGTCCATCTTTGTATGTTTTGAAAGCAAAATGTGGAATGGTTTTTTGTGTTTTATATAAGGTTCTTTTTAATTTTTTTAAGTTGTATATAATGTAAATATGTTTGTTTTTGTTTCAAAATGGCCATTAGTTGGGGCATTTTTTTGTTCGACGACCGACCAGTACTGAAGAGACGTTTTTTGTTCATATAAAATATTAATTCGTAATCTAAACCCAAATTTGGGTTCCTTCGTGTTTCATAGTGTTTTTATTGTTTTGTTTCAAGTGGCTGCGTATGTATTAAATCTTGTATATCTCTAGTTTTTTATATATATATAGTGTTTTGTTCGCCACACATATGAGGGAGAAAACTAAAGAAAATATTTTCTTATTTTTGTTCAGCTTTGTGTATTCAGCTTTAAATTGTTTAAATCTATGTGGTAATAATTACCAGGGATTTTTTGTATATTTTTTTAAAGTACTGATTTTTTTGCATTTAATGCGTCTTTAACAATTATTGTTCTTTTTTAACTTATTAACAGTTTAAATTATTTCATGTTAAGCGTTGTGCAAATTTTTATTGTACAAAGTTCTTAATAAAACTTCTTAAGAAATTAATTTTGTTTTTTTTGTGTGTGCTTTAGAACAGATTTTCTTAAATCTAAAATTTGTAAATAGTCAAAATGTGATGCCAAACCCAAAAAAAATATGACGGATGCTTATTCAAAAAGTATTATTTGGAATATTTTAATATGACAAAGCAATAGCTAGCATAAATAATAGCATTTGTTATATAATAATAGCTCCCGTATATAGCGTTTAACGCCTTGGGAGTAGCAAGGTACAGCTTGCCATGCTAAAGCCGTTCGGTATACAAGGAAGGTAATGTGGAGCACTACGCTTCAACCGCCTATTATTACCTCAGGATTGTGAATCCCAAGTAACTCATTTAAGGCTGAGTCGACCTAGGTACCCAAACTATTTTTATTTTAATAAAAATAGTCGGCTGATGAAATGTCGGGTGTAGGATTCGAACCCACTACCTTGAGATTGGTAGGCGAGAGGCTGTAGGCACCTCTGCGCCACCGGGCACCTGCATTTGTTATAAATTGTTAAATAACCCGCAACACTGTAACGCTGTTAATATTTTAGGTAGATGGAACAGGTGTCTTCTTCTATTCACGCTATACGAATGCTTCCGTTCCGTATCAGTTCCATACTTTTTATTGTACAATTTATATAATTACGAAAGTTTTATTTTAAAAATTTGAATCTTTTGAAAAAGGTAATAGATTTAATTAAGAGGTGAAAGAATAAATGAATATCAGCAAAATTTTAACAGAGCTGGTACAAATGTAAGAACTTGATAACGCTGTTTCCGATACGCTTCAGTCCTTCCGCCAAAAAAATGTATGGAAGGAAAGGATATAGAATGGAAGGGAGCTGATATGGAAGGTATAGTGAAAATCAACCTTTAATGGGTCTTTGGAGCGTCGTAACTCTGGCCCTATGTGAGCTAGGCGGCTATCTTTTCATGATATTTTGACGACGTTTCGTGCACTACGAAACCTCATCATCAACGAATCAAATAAAAAAATCGCCCGATTTAAATGAAATTTGGTATGTCGATAGATTGGACTAAGGCCAACTTGACCGTGTATGACACTACTTGTTACTGAGAGAGTTAGTTTTGACGTAAGAAACGTCAAAAGTTGATACCGTCCGAACGCGACCAAATTTGGTGAGTAGACTATGTGAGCGACCGCGACGGTGCACACGGTATCCTGCAAAGTTGGATACGACGCGACGTTTCGTTTATATCTTCATCAGGGTGGGACTAAGGATTTAATATTGAAGAAAAATGTGGGTCGATTCCGGCATAATTGAGGACGGGCTATAGGATGGCCTCTAAATGGACGAAATCATCAGGATTTTTCTTAATTATGGGTCGATTGGAACCAAACTCGGCACGTGGATGTAGGTACCCGAATGGAGTCTTCAGACGGACAGACGGAGCTAAGAAGTTTTACTTCAAATATGCGCACATTCTTCAAATATATACACATACTACATACTTCAAATATACACACATTTTTTTTATACTATTCTTTAGTGGCAATCCATAATTGATAGACAAGTGACTACGTGACTGTACTACCTACAAACCTACTTTCTTTTCTGTTAAGTTAAAATCTATACTAATATATAAAATTCTTAAGTGACTGACTCACTGATTAATCACAATCCTACTCAACCACTCAACGTAAGAAGCTCAATTTTGGCATACAGGTTAATTCTGGGGTGTAGAGGTTCAATAAGAAGGGATTTTTCGAAATTCTTGTTCCAAGGGGGTGAAACAACCCCTCAAATATTACAATAATTTCTATTTAAAAAACGGTCGTTTCCGAAAAAACGCTTAAACACGTATATTTTATTTTGTTCTTTTTACATATTTTAAGATTTTTAAAAATGTATACAGGGTGTTTCGAAAAATCTGGTCATTGATTAATCATCACGATCCTGCTTAAAGCGCTTGACGTAAAAAGCTAATTTTTGGAAAACTATTGACTGTAGGGTTTAGAGGTTCGATAAGAAGGGATTCTTCGAAACTTCAATTCTAAGGGGGTGAAACCAACCTTCAAATATTAGAATATAAAAACTCTTAAACACGTATATTTTGTTTTGTTGTTTTACATATTTTAAGATTTTTTAAAAATTTATACAGGGTGTTTCATAAAATATGACCATTGAGTAATCACGATTCTGCTTAAACTGCTTGACGTTTAAAGCTGATTTTTGGCAAACGGACTGACTGTGGGATGTAGTGGGTCAATAGGGGTTTCTCGAATCTCAAATTCCAAGAGGGTGGAAACGCCCCTCAAATATTACAATATTTGTTATTTAAAAAACGGTTAGTCTTTCGGGAAAACGCTTGGACACGCATAATTTATTTTATTTTTTTACATATTTTTAAATTTTTTAAAAAATCATACAGGGTGTTCCAAAAAGTTGGGTAGTTGATTAACAACCACGATTCTGCTTAAACTGCTGGACGTAAAATGCTTATTTTTGGCAAACGGATTTTTCAAAAGTCGAATTCCAACGAGATGAAACTACCCCTCAAATATTATCAAGTTATACAATAATATCGCCATATTGTTTTTCTCATGCTGACATAAATGTAAGAAAATTTTGTCCAGTTTGTATGTTAATGGAAATTCTTGCTTTGCTTTATCATCACCATTAAAAATGATTTTAATTCGACGGGAACGAAGTCGCGGGTACACGCTAGTAGATTATAAAGTTGTAGTCAATATAATAGTAAAATACTAAATGCTGAATTATTATTCTATACTTAATAATATCGTATTGAACAAGGAGATTAAAGAAAGCAAACTTATAAAGGTTATAAAATCGTTTATTGGTAAATTGCAATTTTACATTAAAAAAAAATATTAAAAATATAAACTTACGTTTAAAAAGTCTCGGTTCAATTTGTTTCACGTCAATGCAAAACAGAACAAATCTGCCCTTAAAAGTATCAAGTCTTGAAAATCCATTTGTTATATTTTTTACTGACTAGTGTATTTTTTTATAAGTAGACTACTATTACACATTAACTAGTAAAAGTTAGTATACATTACATACGTATCTTTGGAATAGAGTTTGGGTACATTGATAAAAACAGTTAAGAGTTACTGACTTCGACAGGAAGTTACCACATTCTAATTAATTACATATTTGAAGAAATACAATTTTATACCAGTTTAAAAAATTCCGTTAGTAGACAAAATAAAAAAAAATGTTTAAAAATAAAGATAATTAATCTAATTAATATTAACAGCCTACAAAATAAGGAGCAATATAATGCATCCTTAAAATAACAGTTTACTAATTAGACTAGCAAGTCACATTGAACACAGTTTTCTTTGCTCTATTTAGCGTTGGTTAGTCCCATTTCTCTCCAGGGTTTTCTTTCAATACGTTGGATGTCACTGTAAGAGCGCTCTAGAAGAAAGAAAAAATATATTAGATAATAAAAAAATGGAGTGTTCATCATTTAAAACCGTCATCCTTTATAGTATACATCTACGTATAACGAGCGCGTCAAAAATGTGTCTCACCCCTATAACATTTTTATATTTGGTACAATAGTATATGACATAAATTATGATTGATTGACGTATTCAATTATTTTTGGTCATTTCGTATTTCACCGGAAATCAACAACTGTTGATTTTTAAATGGCACCCTCGGTATTTTTTTACTTTATTCGATAGATAATAACATTCTGAATAGAATGACATATATGTCAACTTTTGACATTCTTGCTTAATAAAAAATTGTATTTTCAATTAGAGTTCAATTCAAAAAATTCAATCTAGAGTGCTACGGCTGTTAAAATTACTAATTCTTAATCAAGGAGCCTTGGAAAAATAAAAAATATCTGTTTTTAGTGTCTTGTCCTGGCCAGTTAGAAAATGCTTAAAGCGTATTTTTAATAAAATCTCTCAAAAGTAAAAAAATACCGAGAGTGCCATTTAAAAATCAAAAGTTGTAGTCATTTCCGGTGAAACCGGAAGTGACCGAAAACAATTGAATACGTCAATCAATCCCCCAATTTATGTTATATACTAACATACCAAATCTCGTTGTTTTATCTGAAAAAATAAAAAAGTTATAGGGGGTGAGCCACTTTTGAGACTCACCCGGTATATGGTGTTAGATAAAGAATTACCATCATATGGAAGTTATTAACAAGTAGAATTTAACTTCAAGTATGTAAAGAATGAACAAATCAAAGTAATTTTTTATGATTGTTATTGCAAAAAAAAAATCTAAAAAACTTCCACTCCTTATGCAGCTAGACTACACAAAACCATGGCCAAGAGTGGGCCTATCCGTAGAATGTATGGGAGGAGGGCGGGGTTAATCACGCCGACCTTATAGATCTATTTTGTGTCCCCCTTTCTTCAGATATAACGAGTTATAGCTCATCATACGGTCCCAGAGCTTGGACAAAAGCCAGTATCTGATATGGTTTTCCAGAGGTTAGTTTTCCATCTTCGATATCAGTCATACTAATCTTTATGGCACGAATGGTTGTCCTCTCAGCGCACTCAGTGATGAGGTGATCTTGTGTTAACTCATTTTTCCCACAGAATCTGCATTCGCCGTTGTTTCTTAGCTTCAATCTATTGAGATGTTCGCTGGGGAGACAGTGTCATGTGAAAAATCCCATACAATCCGAATATTATGCTTACTTAAATCAAGGAAAATATTTGATTTTTCTCGGTCGTCCTGAGAAATTTTCTCGAGTGTCTTAGACCGGGTTTTGGAGGATTCTGATGTCAGGTTACCGATGAAGTCTTCAATGTAGAATTGAACAATGGAAATAAAAAGGATTGGAAGGGAGAATCGTTTGCTCAGCAGCCAAAAACCATACCATAACGTGGTATACTGATACTCCAAAACCAAAACAAGAACAGGGATAAGAGTATTTGGCGAAAACTAAATACTCCGACGCAATAGGCACCTACTCCAGCATCCTTCAGGCAGAAATCTGTGCTATGTAAAGATGCGTACAACTTATTTTATCTTATCTCTTCGCGTCGTGTTTGCCATACTTGCCATGGCTAGTTACAAAGTTGGTATACTTGCCAAGTATGCAAACATTGGTGTACTTGCCAAGCACACGAGTCGTCTGAGCCCGACTTTAGGTAGGAATTATCGGAAACAAGAAATAGCCATCTTATCCGATACCAACTCAGTAACAATGAAATCAAAATTGGTCAAAGAGTGCTTAGAGAAGCTGAATAAATTATGCAAAGAAAATAAAGTTTTCCTACTCTGAGTGCCAGCCCACCAAGGAGTAGAAGGTAATAAAAAATCAGGTCCAGTTAGTGGAGTGTCCACTCCATGGTCCATAGAATGTCCGCTCTACCAACTGGACCAGAACCGTCCCAAGTGGAAACCATCTTAAAGCGGAACCAAGAACCTGGAAGACTCTATCCGTAACATGGAGTGGGAATCTTGCAACGGTCTAGGTACTCGAAAAAAATTCTCAGAACTTACGAGGGAGAAAAATCAAAGCATCTTGAATTAAGCAACAATCTTCGGATTGTCAAGGGGTTTTTAACACTGTCCCCTCAATGAACATCCCAGTAGATTCAAGCTAAGAAACAACGTCGAATACAGATTCTGTGGGGAAAATGTGGGAACACCTCATCACTGAGTGCGCCGAGACGACAACCATTTGTGCCATAAACTTTGGTACGGCTGATATCGGAGATGGAGAACTAACATCTCAAATACTGACTTTTGTCAAAACCCTGAGACTGTATAATGAGTGATAGCTCAAGAAAGAGGGACACAATAGATCTGTAAGGCCGTGGTGATTAACTTCCACCCTCCCATACATTTTACATTCTACAAATTTTTATGATAATGAATAGTAAAGACATAAGGATTTATAATGTTATAATTATATATTTTATAATTAACATAAATTCTTGCTATGTTATTATTAAGTATGTACCTACCTCTGAATTTTATATACTGACACTGAGCGTCCGGTATATTATTAGATCTCTTCGGTGGTTGACTAGTGTCCCTGGAACGAAAGGATCCGGCAGCCCTCAGTGAGGGGGGCTGAATACAAATGACGTCGCGATTCATTCTGTAAGAAGTCACAGATGGAGCTCCTATTGTGCTGTCGTCGTATGTGTTGATGTCGATGTCGGTGAGTACTGTAAAATTTAGTTGTTATTATTATTAAAAAAATTAGGGTTCTAATTGAGATTTCTAGAAAATTGTTACTATTACTAAGATTAATTTTGATATGTAAAGAGTGTAAAAAATACCGTATGTTGGAAAAAATGGCGTCAAAGACAGCTGAGGAATGACAATCGATGATAATTTTGGCGCGGTCAATATTTAGACGTTGTTCACTAAAAATTCACATAAAACTTGTCAAAAATTAACACTATATAGCTATAGAAAGTTTAAAAAAGGATAGAACGTTTCCAGACACACGAAATCTATTTCCAAAAAATATTTTTCTCGAATTTTAAACTACACCATTCAAAAGTAATTTTTAAATAATAATAAATTACAACCTTCTTAAGACCATTATATTTGGGGGGTTCGAACCTTTGGTGTTATAACAGCAAAATAAAACACCAATTCACCACAATACTCCAAAACAATAATTTTACTTTTGCACTGAACGTTTCGTTCAGCATGTTTGCATCATCAGCAGTTAATTAAATCTGACTGTTTTAATCATCTGCTGATGATGCTAACATGGTTAGCTAAACGCGCGTCCAGTGCAAAAGTAAAATTGTTTTGATGTATTGTGGCGAATTAGCGTTTTTTTTTGACATTGCTGCAAAATCAATAGGGGAGCCAATATTTGAACAGTTCAAAATTTGCATGCGATTTCCTATGTTTCCAACGCTGATGCACCACCCGGTATATGTTTGGAGTGTTCTGTGTTACTAAATCCTAACTCATATAATGCATTATTTGGAAGTTGAAAAAAAACGACTATTAACAAAGGGATAATACCCTGTGATCGAAAATAACATTCCCCATAAAATTTTACATATAAAAGAAAACGATCTTCATTTCATAGCCATCGCTGATGCCGTTTTTTCGATCATACGGTTCATATACTAATAAAAAAAACTATTTAAATTACAATATCGTACGGCATACTTTGACTGTCACATTTAAAAAAATCTCCGCCAAAACACTAAAAATCTCCGCCAAATCCATAACAGAAGCCGAAACAAAACATATAAATTAAAAAGCATGCTACATAACTAATAAAATCAAAACTTTGAAAAATAAACTTAAATCCATAAAATTTAACAGATACAAATTTAACACCTTTTAAAAATCTCAATAAGAGAGAGTAAGAGTAATAATACTCTACAATAAAAACTCTTTGTAATAATTACAAAGCAATTATTATTTTTTAGCTGGAGTGGATTTTGAACTTAATATTCACATGGTACTTATGGTATTCCTTCTATTTGCGTATTCCCTCCCTTAAAATATTTAACTTTTCGAAATACTCAAGCTAATTTACAATATACGTCCCTACTGAAAAAGTGGGTATTTGAAGTAGTCAGTCTGGAAATAACGTTACCAGAGATTCTAGTGATATTAGCATCCAATAAGTTATAAGCTATCCAGATATAACCAAATTGTTATTTTGCCAGTAACTCGATTGGCACTGCAGTAATGTTTTTCACGAAAAAAAAAGTATCTATTATCTAGTTATAATATATCAGGAAGTATGTATTGCAGTCAATTGAAAATACGTTTTCAGCGTTTCAAACATTTCCTAAACGATTTTTTTGCTATATTTACGAATAGAAGGGTTTCATGGAGAGGCACTCTGTAGAGGCAAAGGCAATGTTAGGTAGTAAAGAGTTTTTCAAACACGACAAAATGGGTATACATAGAAAATACTTTTCTATGTTTAAACGAAATGATTTCGTGAACGGTGAACGAGAGCCAGACGGGCAGAAATTTCCCGCAATTAAGATTCAGTGGCGTATCCTTGCACCCCTTCCTCGACAAATTATATGTCGAGGAAATTACGATGTCGACAAATTATATGTCGAGGAATTATATGTCGAAGGAATTATATGTCTCCTTTTGACTTTTATTAATAGTCTAGTTGTTATACAGGGTGAGTCTTCTATCTATCTATCTATCTATATCAGCCAATTTTCGTCCACTGCTGGACATAGGCCTCCTCCAGGTGTTTCCACTGTCCTCTGTCTTGTGCGGTGCTAATCCAGTTTCCCGCCACACGTTTGATGTCGTCCGTCCATCTGGTGGGTGGTCTTCCTCTGCTTCTCCTGTCTTCTCTGGGTCTCCATTCCAGGATTCGTTTTGTCCATCGGTTGTCTTTAGTGCGAGCCACATGTCCCGCCCATCTCCACTTAGATTTTGTGATAAGTTCGATAATGTCGGCAACCTTTGTTCTGCTTCTTATTGTTATATTCGTCACTTTGTCTCTTCTAGTGATTCCCAGCATCGATCTTTCCATTGCTCTCTGTGCCACTTGAAGTTTGTTTATTGACTTCCTCGTCAGAGTCAGAGTCTCCGCCCCGTATATCATCACCGGGAGCACACATTGGTTGAACACTTTCCGTTTCAGACATATAGGCAGTTTCCCCTAAGGGCGTTTCTTAGTTTGCCAAAAGCTACCCATCCTAGCCCCTATGCGTCGTGTGACTTCGCTTGTCTGGTTGTCTCTGAATCTGTATCTCGTGACCGAGATATTTATATTTGTGCGTTTGCTCTATTTCGTCTCCTTCGTCTGTCACCAGGTTTCCGCTGGCCACCAAGTTTGTCATGAACTGTGTTTTGTGGTAGTTAATATACAGTCCCACTCTTTGCTGTCGCCTGCCTTAGTTCTTCCAGCATTTCCTGTGCCTCTCCTAAATTGTCGGTTGTTATAACTACGTCGTCGGCGAAACGAAGGTGGTGTAGGTATTCGCCGTCTATATTTATGCCCTTATTCTGCCAGTTCAGTTGTTTGAATGCATGCTCCAACACCGCAGTGAAGAGTTTAGGGGATATAGTATCACCTTGTCTTATTCCTCTTTCTATTGTGTATTTCTTAGTTAGTGCGTGAAGTTTTACGCATCCCGTGGCATTCCTGTATATGTTATGTAGAAGGCAGGGTGAGTCTTAAATATGTGCAAATATTTTTGGGGCTGGTAGATCTCGATAAAACAAACATAACAAGAACCACTGGATCTTTTCTAGGTTTTCTTTCTTTATACCTATGGGTGTCGCTATATTATCAAGAAATTGTGTTTTTGAACTGAAAACTAAAAAATCCATTTTTTTTAAAAAATTACAAATTTTATTTTTTTTTTCGCCAAAAAAACTCATAGAGCTGTTTCTGGGGTCGAAAAGTACTACCCCTAAAAATATTTGAACGTATTTAAGAGTCGCTCTGTATATATGTATGTAATTTTGCTCAATTTAATTCCTCATATAAGAAAAAATATATTTTGCACCTATTCAAAAAGAGTACGGTTATATATTTTAAATAATTTAAAAAATTAGTATTCCAACCTCAAATGTAATATGCTAATTCATATTTGTTCAGATTTACTCTTTTCGTCATTGTTTTGTCATAGTGCCAAATTAAAAATCTGACTATTTAAAATAATTACAGTTGAGAGTTTGAACCTTTGGTGGTACAACAGCAAAATAAAACACCAATTCACCACAATTGGAGGTGGAAATTCCAGTTCCTTATTAGGAACTACTTCCTTAGTTCTAGTTCCTCCAGAGAAATAGTTCCTTGAACTAGGTCTTTAGTACACATTAGTTCCCGACTAACATTGACACCCACGTTGCTTGCTCATAGGTTTCGTTATACGTCAGAACTAATCACAGTATGGTCTTTATAATTTTTATAACGTACGAAATAAAACAGGACGTGTAATTGCGTATGTTAAAAAAATAGATAAGTTTTATTGGAGATAAAAACAAAAAATTAACAAAGAAACTCAAATTAGAGTTTAAAAAACTATATCACAAATGAATTGGAGCAAATAATAAAATACTTAATAATGGCACATGTGTAGGTGAAGCCAAATGATAAATATGAAGGTAATGTTTTTTCTTATTTTACAAAAAATTGCATTTTTTCTCACTTCAAACTTTTTGTTTTTGTCTAAAAAGTCATTTAGTAGTAAAAAAAGTAATTTTAGTGACCTAAAGTGAAACATTTCCATAAAATATTCAAAGAACAAACTAAAAATTAAAAACAGTCTCCACGACAAGTTTCTATGGTAATTACGCCGGCCGCGGCAACAGGCCAATAATTATATCTCGGATCTACAGACTGAATAGATTCCCGTGAACTAGTTGTTTAATTAGTTCCTCTCAGTCCTCTCGGTCCGGGACCGATAACATACGGTTGACACTCCTCATTCCTATCTTTAACTAAACGACGCCTAGCATCCGGCTATGATCGCGCTGGCCGATCTGTAGCCGTCGCATATTACGATATCTCTATCACAGTCTCGGTCCCCGGAATAGGAAAAACTAGTCTTTTGAGAAACCGGGAACTAATTCCTTTCGTTCCGGGCTTGAAACAGTTCATTGGAACTAGTTCGTTACTAACCAAAATACACCAAAACGCTTTACATGTGCACTGGAATTGCGTTTCGCTAACCATGTTAGCATCATCAGCAGATGATAATGATGAATAAAACTAGTATAGTTTTGGTGTATTGTGGTGAATTAGTGTTTTATTTTTCTATTTAAAATAAATTTAATAGAAATAATTATTAATACAGTATTTTTTTGCAATAAATCGTACAAAATTGAAAATGTTAATTTTCAAAAACAACCTCATTCCAATACTATTTCTAATAAAATTTCTATACTAAATTTCATTCTTTAAAACATATGTGTGTTGTTACAATGAATATTTTGGCTATATAAAGAATTTCAATTTAACAATTAAGGGTATATTCGCTACGCCACTGTTTAGATCGCTAAAACGATTACTGTAGAATTAAAAATGCATCTGACGTTGCAGGAAAACTACGACCCAAATTCGAATTTGAATTTTAAATCCGAGTAGATTAAAAAAGCCCTTTTTAATATATACACTGCCTTTTAAGATGAAACCTAAGGTAAGGAAAAAGTTCAATATTTATTTTAGAAAAACATAAAACGGATACCAGCATTTTTGTACGTTGGGGACGAAGGAAGATTATATACACGGTGTTTCAAAACAAATGCGAAAAACTTTAGGGGGTAATTCCTTGTTCAAAATAAAGGGTAGTTTGCTTCATAAACTTTGGGTCAAAAGTCAACCATTAGGGAGATATCGCGGTACAAAGATGGTGGAAAAATAATGTTTTTATTTTTTAACTTGAAAACGAAAAGAGATAGACTAATGAAATTTTATGGAAGCATTACTGTTATGAAAACACACTTTCAGGTAATTTTTTTACTTTTTTAAAATGAGTGGAAGGGGTTGAAATAAACTACCCCTATCATTCTTGTTAACGAAATTTAAAGAAAAATCTTATCAAACACATGCAAATGCTTTAATTTGGATAGTTTAGTTTGTTTAGAAACTTTTTACCTCTTGTGTTTTTTGATAAAACTCACCGATTGGAAATTAAAAATAAAATGTAAAGCATTACATGTCAGGACAAAAAACATTTTTAGATTAAGAATCTAGTGATAATAACGATAATAATAATCATCTAGGTAATAACGTATTGCAGTAGAGTAATGTCTAATAAAATAATATTAGGAACATCCTAAAAAGTAACAGCGGCCGACTAGATTTTTTCCTAAAAAAATTACAGCAGCCCACTAGATTCTTTATCAGAAAATGTTTTTTGTCCCGACATGTAATGCTTTACATTTTATTTTTTAATATCAAATCGGTGAGTTTTATCAAAAAAATACAAGAGATAAAAAGTTTCTAAACAAACTAAGCTATCCAAATTAATTTTTTTGCATGTGTTTGATAAGATTTTTCTTTAAATTTCGTTAACAAGAATGATAGGGGTAGTTTATTTCAACCCCTTCCACTCATTTTAAAAAAGTGAAAAAATTACCAGAAAGTGTGTTTTCATAACAGTAATGCTTCCATAAAATTTTATAAGTCTATCTCTTTTCGTTTTCAAGATAAAAAATAAAAACATTATTTTTCCGCCATCTTTGTACTGCAATATCTCCCTAATGGTTGACTTTTGACCCAACGTTTATGAAGCAAACTACCCTTTATTTTGAACAAGGAATCACCCCCTGAAGTTTTTCGCATTTGTTTTGAAACACCCTGTATATAAGCAAAACAAAGATAATTATTATAGGATTAAAAATCCATTACATCTAATCGAAATATTTCGATTTATCTAGAAGAGTTAATATTTATGAAGAGAAGAAAGAACGATCATATTGAAGAAATATCGAAGAAAGAAGTTTGAATATTAATCAAGAGGTCTCTTTGGCATTGGCATCATAATATATTTATACATTTGTTTATGTTCATACATACATATTTTTATAGATGTTACATTATGTGTATAATATTCAGAGTAAATCTGTCTAAATATTCCCCATAATAGATAATATGTATTTACTATACAGGATGAGTCTTAAATAAGTGGAAATATTTTCAGGAGTGTTAGATCTCAAAAGAAAATATATTTTCTCTTGCTCTTTTTTCAAATAAGTCCAAAATAGCCCAGTTATTTTACTTTAATTTTTTTAAAAATATATTTTTTGCTTAATTTTTTACGTCATTGCCATTAACACTAGATACAGTATAACTTCAATAGTCCGGACACACTTAAGAAACGGGCACTCTAGTAATCCGGACACGACATTTTAAAACATTTGAAAAAAAACTGAAACCAGAGCGCCAAAAAATCATACGCGAATACGCGAAATCTCAGAATTTTCCAATCTGGACAAGCAGAAACGTTTACCTTTTGTTTATGAACTGAGTTTATATTTCTGCATTGGATTCTAGAGCGGTTAAAGCATAATAGTTCTAATCAAACGGGCACATAAAATGATTCTTACACTCGCCGAAAAATCTAAAATATTTTAGTATCTTGATTCTGGAATAAAATCGCCAAATTGCGGAACAGATTATGGTTTCAAAATCTGCAGTGTTTGGCATGAACAAAAGGGATAAAATAAAGACTTTTATCTCAAAATAATTTCGAAGGCCAGGTAGGAATACCATTATCAATACCGTGTTGTTTTAAAGGCAAATAAAAACAATTTAGAAGAGAAGAATAATCAACTTGAACTATAGTATAGGTATCTAATGGGAGGGTCCATCTCAGTGACACTTGTGTCTATCATTTTAAATCGCAGGTAAATTGTATTTTCTGTCAGTTTTTGAATATTATCTGTTGGAATCTTGTGTCCCACCCTTGTCCCACAATAGACAAGAATAGCTCTCGGCTGTATCTCGGAAAGTATTAGCCGTAGCGCCTACGGAAAAAAATATTTATAACTAAAGGGGCTATGATAAATTGATGGATATTATTTCCAAGTTTGTAAAACGGCCGCTAGAGGGCGCAACTGCTATGGAAAATAAGAAAATAGAATTTTTACAGAATTTTGACTAGATAATGGGTACTATAAATAATAGCTTCATAATCTTCAGTAAATTTTGGATTTTTTTTGTTAGAACCATTTTCCCCTATCTGCTAAAATAAAGTGGTGGGGGAAGGTTAAATCTATCTTTATTTAAATGTTAATAACTCCGGACTGGATAATCAGAATCCAACAAACAAAAGCTCGTTTAAAAGAGCATTTCTTACTCTATATTAAACCATAAAAATAATAATAATAAGGTTTTGAACGTTAGGGGAACGGCTAGGGGGCGCTTTCTTACAATTTAACAAACAAAGCGCGTTTTTTCAAAAAAATTAAATACGATAGTATATATGTTATTTTAGCTGATAGCAAAGACACAGTAAAGAGCAGTAAAATTAATTACCTTATTTTTACAACACGGTATCAGTAGCCCTCTTGATTATGCCCATTCTAACAAAAAATAAGATAGAAACAGTTAGTTTATTTTAAAGTCGAGGAAATACTAGAATACCATAATAACAGATGTACTAATATCTAATAATTACCATGAATTCACTGAATCATTCTCTCTCTCTCTCTCTCTCTCTCTCTCTCTCTCTCTTGTGTGTGTGTGTGTGTTCACTGTTATTAATATCTTAATTATTACCGCGAGGAATCAGGTTCTTACGGGAAACTATTTGTCTATAATTTAGATTAATAGGTAAACGTTATTTTTGACAATTTTTGTTTTAATTTTTCATTCATTTTTTTTGTTTTCATTTCCTAAATAAAAAAGAAATAAAATAAAATAATTACAAAAAAAAATAATTTTAAAATAAATTTAAGTAGCTCTAGTAATCCGGGTACATCGATAATCCGGGCGTATGCTGGGACGATGTCTGTCTGGACTACTGAAGTTATACTGTGAATGTTAAGGTGAACCGAGACATATTTCTGGGGTCGAAATATATCATCCTAAAATATCGAGTAAAATATTTGCACCTATTTAAGACTCGCCCTGTATAGTTTATATAACAAATACTTTGTTTCGATATCACGGTTTCGATTTACGTGGTATTTTCAAGAAAGTTTGTATATGTATTTTCTGATATTATGGATAATAATTATAAACGTAAGCTTTATATCGCGTAAACTAATTCTCAACTCAACACCATTGTAAAGTTTTTACAAAACATCAAACTTGTTCATTTGGTACGCTCACAACGAATAGAAAACAGAAAAAGCATATTCCCTATATAGTTTATTACAACACAATTTATTATCCCAAAGCCCTTTCCTTCCATCTTAGAAACCCAAGTTTCAAGCCTCAATTTCACTTACTATTCGTCTTGCTTCCAAATTTATACCATTTTCTCTTTTTACCACGGTTACTGCTTCGGGCCGCTTTCAGAATTCCTAATAAATAATTACTTAGAGATCTTTTAGCCAGAACTTCCTTTTGATACTTTCGAAAATAAATATAATTATGGAGCTTATTATTACGTAAAATTATAGCTATATATAGTTATTACGTAAAACCAGTTAGGTAGTTATAAAGTAACTTCAAAAAGTTTCAACTACAGGGTGTCCCAGTTTCGTCTGTTTTACGGAGTTTAGCGTTTTATGACTAGAGATACAAAGATGCGGTTTTCATATGATTATGCTAGTTTTTTTTTATATAAAACTAAAGATATTACACACAGTTCTGTTCTAGCCCTCTTAGTTGTAAAATACATGGCGAATTTGAAACTGTTGCATTTTAATTAACTTAAAACTAACTCATCTAAAAGGTAAAAATTAGTCCCATAGTGTTTTTCACATAGCAATCAGTGGTGTTTCGCTGGAAGCTATTATTCTAGAAATATAACCCATACCACAGACTAACTATATTAGTTTGTGCCCATACTTATGTTTTTTTGCAATGGGACACCCTGCATGTTATTATTTTATTTGCTTTGTTATGAGATTTCTAAAACTAAAACACACTCCATATTTATTTTCAGAGGTTTTTAGTTAGGCGATATGTTTAAATTAGGTAATCAAAACAATAGAATAATAATTTAATCAACGTAATGGCAATATGATCGAAAAAAAACGGTATCAGCGATGGCTATGAAATGAAGATCGCTGTCATTTTATACGTTAAATTATATGGCAAATATCATCGATCGCCATTTCCAAGCCAATTGGACGCCGTTTATTGTCGATCATACGGTATTTTGGTTACTGGGTATTTCATTAAATCTAATATACAGAGTGTTTCCTAAGTAATCTAAAAAAATCAGGGTACGATTCCCCATGTGTTTTTAAGAAAACACATATAAACATGGGGTCTAAAGTACTACCTTTCTGATCTACAGGGTGTTGTAGAATGTTTGGGAGGGGAGTTAATCACCGCGACCTTACCGATCTATTGTGTGCTCCCCTTTCTTGAGTTACACCGAGTTATAACTCATCATACAGTTTTAAAGCTTTGACGAAAGCCAGTATCTGAGACGGCTTCACAGAGACCAGTTCTCCATCAAATGTATGGCACGAATGGTTGTAGTGCCATAAAATTTTGTGTGTCTCCCCATTTTCCCCACAGAATCTACATTCGCCGTTGTCTCTTAGCTTCAGTCTACTGAGTTGTTCGTTGTTAGTTCAGTGTCCTGTTAAAAACTCCGTGACAATGCGAAGATTGTTCCTACTCCAATCAAGGAAAATCTTTGATTTCTCTCGGTCGTAATTTCTGAGAAATTTCTTGGAGTGTCTTAGACCGTTGAAGGATTCCCATTCCAGATTACGGATGGATTCTTCCAAATTCTTGAGTTCTGCTTTAAGTTCCATTTGGAAAGCAGAACGGTTTTGTCCATTTAACGGAGAGTTCGCTCCTTTTCTAGCTATATCGTCTGCTTTTTCATTGCCTTCTATCCCTTGGTGAGCTGGCACCCAGAGTAGGAAGACTTTATTTTCTTTGCCTAATTTGTTCAGCTTCTCTAGGCATTCTTTGACCAACTTCGAATTACTGGTTATTGAGTTTATCGCTGTTAGTGCTGCTTGACTACCGGATAAGATGGCTATTTTCTGTTTTATAGGGTGTTAAAAATTTAAAAAAATCGATTTTTTCGCAATATAATATGTCCTATTTGAACTGAAAACCTTGAAATATTGAACGGAAATAAGCTTTTGCGAGAATTAGCAGATAGCGAGAAATGCGATTTTTATTTAAATTATTAACACCCCGTATATTGGAAAGGAATTACTTTAGACCCCATGTTTATAAAAACTTTTTTTCTTAAAATTATATGAGGGATCATACCCTTAACTTTTTTAGACTACTTGTATATTTCTTATAAATGTTCAACTTTAAGCTATAGGTGTAAATGTTTGTTTCAATAACTTACGTGAAAGGCGATTGTCCAAAGTGGAATGGTCCCAATCGTTTTCTCTGGATGACCAATCTTTCCGTCTGAGAGTCACTTCTTGATTAGAAGCAGGTACACTCTCAGTCAGCAGTCGTCCCATCGCTGAAAATGAAATGGGAAAAACTTTGAAATGTATGTTTGGTGCACTCGTCTGCAGTTTATTTTTAGGGAATTTAAAGCTTAATTAAGATTACGATGATATAAATTATATGACACGTAGCTTATAGAAGAATATCACAAATGGGGTCTCGATATCAATACTAACAAAACAGAATATATATGTTTATCGGAGGAGAACAACAAGACCTAATATTAGAAGGGATTATATTTGGGTATGGAAATCACAAATGATGGACTGTTGGATATAGCAATTAGAGAACGAAATCGACTTAGAACTTAGAAGCAATGTTATCGTGGTTTTAAATGGGATACTGTGGGACAGAAGCATAAACAACAGGAACAAAACATATATAATACCATCATCAAGAGTATAACAACATACAGCTGTGAAGTGTGGCCAATTAAGGAAACAACAAAACGAACACTGGAAGCTATAGAGATGGACTTTTGGAGGAGAACAGCAAGCAAATCAAGACTCGAACGAATAACTAATGAATGCATAAGAGAGATTGTGGAAGTTAACATATAAAACATACAACAGTGGACGAGATAAAGAACAGACAACTCATATGGTACGGGCATGTCCAAAGAATGACAGAAATAAAAATCCCAAAGCAAATCATAAACTGGAAATCTGCAGGAAGCAGAAAACCGGGTAGACCGAGAAGAAGTTGGCAGGAAGGAATTGACACGTTTATGGAGGAAAGAGCTCTCGGAGACGGTGCATGGAGAAGACAGGCAGGCATGGAGAGATCGCATCGGAAGACGTAGAACGTTTTAAACTGATTTATATATAAAGCTTAATTAAATTTATTTATAAAATGTAATGAGCGACAGCTCAATAAGAATAACAAAAAAAGCATTCTTAAGTACAGTTTGAGTACGGATATTTTCCCCATTAACGGCTAACGTCCTAACGTGTGCGGTCTATGAGACCCCAGTAACTATATTTTATCTTACAACGTGACAAAGCAGGATAAATGCACTGTGGGGAGCCGGGTACCTTTCGGAGATGTGACTACAAAGTTTCTTAGACGCTTTACACCATCATCTTGTCAAGTGCAATATGGTAGTACAGCAGAAATATGTTGTCTAAGACCTCGCGTTAGCGATTATGTATCGGAAGTAAACAAATTATTTCCGATAATTTTCTTAGGTTGGTAGAGGTATGCTCCAGTGACTCTCTAATGACCCAAGACTTGAAGCGTGTACTTAAAATATTCAAGATTAAAATGACGGTGGTGTCAGATTTAGAAAAAATGTTACGACTCGGAATAAATACTTAAAGTGGGAGATAAAATTATGTACAAAAATTTGGCATAAAATTTGATTATTCATCTTTGTTTCCAAACAAAGATCAACAAAATAACTTGAAGCTATAAATATTACTCCTATAAATATTCATCAAGGTTATGAAGTAAGTAATAATATTTGTAATGACATGTTGTGTTTTTTAATTTATTTCGGTATTTTTCTTATCCTTTAAATAATTTATGAATAAATGCTCCTGATAAAAGAAGTATCTTTTATATATAAAAAATAGCATAGCGCTATCCCAGACCGCCCGTATGTTCCATTCCCGAACTTTAGCGTTTAAATCTTAATTTAAATATTTTAAACATTTTTACACATAATATGAGTGTAAATGAATTTAAATAATTTTAAGTAAATCAAAATAAGAGTTTATAGACATATAATATCAATTAGATATTCGATTCGAACAGTATGTTTACTATTTATATTATATTATTGTATTGAAAATTATGATTTTTAGTTTGTTTTTAATTTTTCATCGGTATCTATTTTTACTCTCGAAACAACAATAATAAAGTGAAAGGTCAATTTATTAAACAGTGTTAATTATTTCATACCTTACTATTATAACTCCAGTTTGAGGTGCAGAGGTTAACAAACGCATATAACATGAACTTTGCCGTTAATAAAACAAATTGAAATAATTGATAAGTAACAGTAATGTTTAACAAGCTTATATTATAATATATCTTTTATTGATTTAAATTGAAAGTCTATAAGATTTATTTTGAATATATATTATAATATATTTGATATTTATTTTTGATGCGATTACATTTAGGGCGAGTTGACACGGTCCAATTGTATTGACATCCAAGTGAGTTGGCAGACACTTACTTGGCCTACTTACTTGAATGTTACGAAGCTTTCCAAATCAACTTGGATATAACTGTTCATACGTCAGAAGCAGCGTGTGTACTTAGTTAAAATACACTTGGACCGGGTCAACCGGGCTTTACTTTACTACCTATGGTAGGAGCAAAATAAAACACTAGTTCACCACAATAAGCAAAACACTTTATTTTTGCACTGGACACGCGTTTCGGTAACCATGTTGGCATCATCAGCAGATCACAGATGACTAAAACTATTTTTTTTAGTTTAGCGTTTTTTTAGTTTTAATCGTCTGCTGATGATGCTAACATGGTTAGCAAAATGCACGTCCAGTGCAAAAGTAATGTATTTTGGTGTATTGTGGTGAACTAATTTTTGCGTAACTAATGTGTTTAATTTTATTTTGCTGTGGTAACACCAAAGGTTCCAACATCCAACTGTAATCTACTGTAGGATCAAACATTATACAGGCTGAGTCTTAAATAAGTGCAAATATTTTTAGAGCTGATAGATCTCGATAAAAGAAACATATTTTCTCTTTACCGTTTTTCAAATAAGTCCAAAATAACCGAGTTATTCAAGTTTGAAAATTGAAAAAAAATTGCCTTTTTTTGAAAAAAATTTGAGAGCCACCGGATTTTTTTTTTGTATTTGTATTCCTTTTAGTGCTATAGATATAGAGTAAAGCCGTAATAGAGTAAAGATATAGAGTAAAGCCGTAACCATGGTAAGTAATATCACAGATTAAGAAATTAGACCGTGGGAAAATTTACGGTGAGCAGTGAGTTCTAAAAAGTTTTCAAAAAATATACAGGTAAATTTAAAAGAAAATGCACGATTTTCAATATCTATTTCTTGCGAAAAAATACGTTTTCCTGGGGTCGAAATATACAGTAGTGGCCAAAATTATAGCAACTTTTAATATTCTTGAAAATTTTATTTAAAACTTAAAATTGGCGAGTAGTTTACAATTTGTTATTATTGTATTTCACTCAAATATTTGTTTACTATGTATACAATTTTTCATCACACTATCGTCAAATGGAAATACATTTTAAATTTTTTGCTGGATAAAAATATAGCAACTATTTTTTGTAAAGATAATATTCAATCAGGTTCAGACATTTTGGCAAAATGAAAACGCAGTAATAAAGTAATATTTATCGGTAAAAATGTATCGTGGTAAAACTGTGTCTCCCGAAGTTAGGGATATTATTATTCGACGATTTGTAAATGGCGAAAAATAAATTCGGTTTGCCCAAAGTTTGTTATTAAACAAGTCCGTTATATCACGTATTGTGAAAAAATAGCAAGAAGCAGGATCGCCGAAAAGAACAAAAAATACAGGAAGGCCTAGAAAAACAACAAGAAGAGTTGATAAAACTATTTTGCGGATTGCTCAGAAAAATCCATTTATGACTTCCACACAAATTGTCAACAAAATCAGCAATTCTGGCAATGTAAATTTCAGTTCAAGGACTGTTAGGAGATTAGTTGATGCTGGAGTATTTGACCGCAGGCCGGCAAAAAAAACACTTCTCTCAAAAAAAATGTGAAGGCCCGATTGGGGTTTGCTAAAAATTACTGTAACTGGACACATCAACAATGGAAAAAAGTAGTTTTTAGCGATGCATCCAAGTTCAATATATTCAGAAGTGATGGAATTGCTTATGAAAGGCTGAATAGAAAATATATTTCACCTACTGTGAAACATGGGGGCTGGGCGGTTCCATTTGGAGGTGTTTTTCTACGGCATGGGTCCACTCTTCAGAATAAATGGAATAATGGACCGGTTTCTGTATAAAGACATTCTACAAAATCAAATTATTCCTTATTTGGAAGAAAAAATGCATGTAGGTGCTATTTTTCAACAAAATAATGACCCCAAGCACAAATCCAAACTGGTGACCGAGTATTTAAGAGATGAAATAATCGATTTATTACCTTGACCTTCACAGTCTCCAGATCTTAACCCGATTGAAAACATGTGGAAATATGTGGACACAAAAATCCGGGATCAAAACTACAACAAGCAACTTGGATCAACTTTTTGAAGCACTACAGAATGCCTGGAAAGCAATAGATGAACATTATATAACCAACTTGCTGCAATCTATGCCCAGAAGGTATGAAGAGGTCATCAGACAGAAAGGATATACGAAATATTAATTATTTTCGTGTTTTCTATTTATTTCAAAATATTTTCAAATTAATTTGTAAAAGTTGCTATAATTTTGTCCACAAGAATATACATATTATTTTATTATTAAATTAATCAACTCTTAATGTCCTTAAAATAGACATCTAGACTTCAACATTTTATTTGGGTGAACAGGAAAATTGCTATTACTTTGTAGGCAATTTTATATTTGAGTTTTAAAAGTTGCTATAATTTTGGCCACTACTGTACCACCTCTGAAAATATTTGCACTTATTTAAGACTCACCGTGTATAACGAAGTGGGCTTTAACTTTTTTTGACAAGTAAAAAACTAATGTAATTTATTATAAGAATTTTTTAAGTAGACTACTCACCAGGGGACATGTTGAGCCATAAGATTGTCAACATGCTTAGTAACATGTAGCAAGTTGGCCAATCAACACATACACTAGGAAATTTGTTGATGAAAACTACATTCACTAACATGTTGCCCAACATGTTCTTTAGTGAGTGGCCTGCATAAACCTTTACTTTTTTTATTAATTAATATTATTTTTTTATTAAAATGACAAAGACTGTCAACAGACATACCTACTTTAATAAGCAAAGAATTTGCACTCTTCTATTATTACTATATGCACAGAAATTAAAGGTAAATTTTCACTATGTTTTATATGAAAATTCAAAAATAAGTATGGGTACGTTAATTTGAAATAAAAGCAAATGCCAGGTTGCATCTTTTAGTATTTTTTAACATTGACAAAAATCAGCCATTTGAGCGTTAATGTTAACTAATTTAATTATATAGTATTTTTTTCTTTAAATTCGTTTTATATGTGTAACATATTATTAGAAAACATGATCATGTATTTTCATTCAAGTACTTCGGTATTAATTAATCTTATATAAAGTACAATTGATTACAAGTTGTAATACAGTGTCTTTTATTTTAAAAAACTAACCAACCTTTAAATATTAAGTAATTGTAAAACTAATATTTAATTTTAGTTATCATCGATGTTATCATAGTCCTATATGGGTTTCAAAACACGAAATGCTAATCCCTAAATACTGTAGTTATAATACCGTATGATCGAAAAAAATGGCGTCGGCGATGGCTATAAAATGAAGTCGCTGTCATTTTATATGTAAAATTATATGGGAAATGTCATCGATGTTCATTTCCAAACCAACTGGAAGCTGTTTTTCATACAATATTTTTCGTTGTATATGGCCAATACGAACCATAACGAACAATACATGGAAAACTACCTCCACTAATGACATTTGAAATACTAAACACATTATAGTTTATTCTCTAATAAGAGCAAACAATATTCTAAGTATACCGTGTCAAAACATATATAAACATGACATACAGGTATGACATAAATAACACATTTGGCATTAATCTAGTTTAAAAATACAAGGTTTATTTTCTTTCCATTGCTAAACGTTAAACAATACCAAAATAAACACTTAACATATTTTATTTTCTAGGTACATTATCACGTAAATTATAGTTTCAGGGAAATATTGATGAGTAAAAAAGTAAGGAACGAGAGAAATTTGCAAGGAACGAGATTTTTTTCTGGAAAGAAAGAGAGTATTTTGGAAAAAAGTTTATCGGGAAATCTTGCTACATACAGTGGAACATACAGTCGAATGGACAAGGGACCGAAAATACATAATTCACGTTAGAGAAAAAAATACCTTGAGACGAAGTTCTCAAAGAACCATCAAAAGAAATATCATGAACACAATGAACAAATTTCCAAACGAACTAACGAATCGTATCTACAAACTGCATCGACGAACCACATCATACTCATTATGCGTGCATAGATTAGAGCTATTATATTAAGTCAGCTATTATATACTTTGGACCAGCCAAGAATTGGGCAGCTCGGAACGTGTCAATAAATGGTGTAAGAATCCATATTGTTGGCGAGTACAAAAATTTGGGTGTAGTGTGCGAAAGCAAACTTCGATTTCGTATTCAAGTATCAAAAGTTCTCCAAAAAGCTTATGTTAATCTCCGTAACATCTATAAAAGCAAAGATGTTCTGAACTTTTGGTTAAAAAAAAATTATACGAAGGACTTGTCTTAAGTCATTTGAATTACTGTAATTTTGTATATGGACCTTGTTTGGATGTTCCAACCAAATTCAAATTGCAAAAAGTTCAGAACTCTTGCTTTCGTTTTATTTACAACCTCAAACGTAGTGATCACGTGAGCCACAAACTTCATGATCTAAAGTGGCTAAATATATCGGACCGACAAAAACTTAATTTTGCTTGCTTCCTGCATAAATTAATTAAATCTGAGAGCCCTTCATATTTGTTCGAAAAACTAACACGTAGGGACAATATTCATCCACGCGAAACTCGTTTTAATACGCACTATCAAATACCCAAAATTAATAAAGCCATAACCCAGAGCTGCTTCTCATATACATCAGTTAAACTGCTTAACCAATATCCCATTATCAGTCAATCAAACAATATATCGTTTTGCACATTTAAATCAAAATTTGAAAAGCATCTTTTACAGATAAATAAGTAAGTGATGGTTATCCTTTTTTTGTTTCTTTTTTGTCTTTTTTGTTTTTTTTAGAAAATTTTACCACCTTGTATCTACAAAGTTAAGAAATTTAGGACATATATTCATATGAAGTTTTTTTCTTATAATAGATCCAAGAATCACCTCCTTAAATATTAGCATGTCATTAAGGAACACCGTGTATACATATTATACTTATGTATAAACATTTTTGTATATGCTTATTATTAATTAGGTGAATAATTTCAAAAAGTAGTTTATTCGGCAATCCTTATACCTCACTGTAACGTATAGTAATTCAATTTTTTGAGGATTCCAATGAGGGTATAATTTTTTGAAACTTTTTTAATATTATTTTCGTTTAAATACCAATCAAAAGTTTAAATAATTACTTACGAAATTTCTGACGAGCAGCCAGCCATTCATCCAATGATGTCGTGATATTGTTATTGTCTTTTGGTTTGCCATCATGGGAGTGCCTCAGGGCTCTTCTCCGTTCCTTGCTGGTCAACATGCATTCTTCCAACAGTTCGAACCAATCTTCTAGTCCGTCAGCAGACCTACATGAACATTTTTTGAAATTTATAAATATAAATTAGAAATTTAAATGAAGCTACCAGCGCAAAACCGGCCTAATCCAATAATAAACTCGCAAATTGGAGCTGAATGATATTTATTTTATTAATTATTCGTTTTATATCTAAATAAATATAAAAGTTTTAAGAGTTTATTCTTAGTTTATTACGCTGTCCTGTTCGGGTGGCTCTTAGGGGTCGGGTAAAGCGGGTGTGTGGCTGAAGGAAATCTATACTAATATATAAAATCCTTAAGTGACTGACATACTGATTAATCACGATCCTGCTCAAATCACTCAACGTAAGAAGCTCAATTTTGGCATACAGGTTGATTCTAGGGTGTAGAGGTTCGATAAGAAGGGAATTTTCGAAATTCCAATTCCAAGAGGGTGAAACCACCCCTCAAATATTACAATATTTTTATATAAAAAACGGCCAAGTTTCCGAAAAAACGCTTAAACACGTATATTTTATTTTGTTTTTTTACATATTTTAAGATTTTTTAAAAATGTATACAGGGTGTTTCGAAAAATCTGGTCATTGATTAATCACGATCTTGTTTAAAGCGCTTGACATAAAAAGCTGAATTTTGGAAAACAGATTGACTTTAGGGTGTAAAGGTTCGATAAGACGGGATTTTTCGAAACTCGAATTCTAAGGGGGTGAAACTATCCCTCAAATAGTAAAATATTTTTTATTTAAAAACCGGTGAGTTTTTCGGAAAAACTCTTAAACACGTACATTTATTTTGTAGTTTTACATATTTTAAGATTTCTTATAAATTTATACAGGGTGTTTCATAAAATATGACCATTGAGTAATGACGATTCTGCTTAAACTGCTGGACGTTTAAAGCTGATTTTTGGCAAACGGATTGACTGTGGGGTGTACAGGTTAGATAAGAAGGGGTTTCTCGAATCTCAAATTCCAAGAGGGTGGAAACGCCCCTCAAATATTACAATATTTGTTATTTAAAAAACGGTTAGTCTTTCGGGAAAACGCTTGGACAAGCATAATTTATTTGGTTTTTTTACATATTTTGAAATTTTTTAAAAAATCATACAGGGTGTTACAAAAAGTTGGGTAATTTCTTAACCACGATTCTGCTTAAACTGCTTGACGTAGAAAGCTTATTTATGGCAAACGGGTTTTTCGAAAATCAAATTCCAACGAGATGAAACTACCCCTCAAACCCCTACCCCTAAATATTATCAAGTTATATAATAATATCGCCATATTGTTTTTTCTCATGCTGATATAAATATGAGAAAATTTTATCCAGTTTGTATGTTAATGGAAATTCTTGCTTTGCTTTATCATCACCATTACAAATAATTAATTCGACGCGAACGAAGTCGCTGGTACACGCTAGTATATATTATATTTCAGAAATCTTCCTAAGGTTTAGCCCAATCCTGTCATGTTAAGCCACACCCAAAATTCCAAATACACGTGCTTGGATTAAGGTTTGATTAAGGTTTGCAGAGCTTCAGCATTTGCCATAAAATAGAGAGCAATTTGTTACAACACCATAAAAATTATATATAACTGTAATCACAAAACTTCAACCTATTTCCGTATTGTAACGGAATTTTAAATTATATCTTTATTTTCGAGAAAATTTAGTCCAAACATAAGGAATATTTTGTCGATGTTTAACCATCAAAATCTTAAAAATAAAGAAGTTGACTAAAATGTGCTACAGTACGAATATAGTATAATCCTTTATCTTTAATTACCTTCTTCATTTGAGTAAAAATACCTAGCCAGATTTACATAAAACGTTAAATGCCGAACGCTTATTTTGCTACTTTTTTGGACTCATGAAATGGACCCTTAAGCAACAAAACTTGCTTCATTAATAGTTTTCATGCAGTTATTAATATTGGCGTACTAACTTTGCAAATAAATCCACAAAGAAAAATGGCCTAATCCACATTTTTTTTAGTAATCAACATTTATTATGTATATACTTATTTCTAAATTTTAGTTCGTTAGATTTTTAGGCAAATATTTGCAGCAAAATGTCAAAATACTGTTCGAAAATTAAACTAGTAGCGTTATTGTCACTAAATTTTATTCCAAGTTTTCTCAAAACAAGCTTTTGAAGGCCGTTTTTGCGCTGGTAGCCTCAAATGTATTTTCTGACATTAATACTTAAAAACCCTTTGCTTTGATTATTATTTTTATTATTCTATGGTTTTAATAATTTATAATTTGTTTTAAATTTATAAGAATTCACTGATGACATTGCACATATTTATTAAGATTATAAATCAAATATTATTAAGTCTAGAATCAAAAATAAAAAATTAAATAATATTTGATTTATAATCTTAATAAATATGAGCAATGTCGTCATTGAATTCTTGAAAATTAAAAAATTAAGTGAATGGTTGATATATCTCTTATATACTAAAACCGATTAATAAATCAATTTTAGTATATGAGAGTTATACCAACTATTTGCTTATTTTTTTAATCGTATTTTGCATTAATTTTTCTAGAAAAATAGTTTCAAAACTAAAATAAAAATTCTATGAAAATATGAAATTCTAAAATTACGTGAATATATGCTTTTTAGGAATCGTTTTACCACCCCGTTATAGCTCTACAAGATAGTGTCAATTTTGTTGACAACATTAAGTATTTAGGAAACTCTACCACAGATACAATAACGGCTTTTAAAGAGTAAGGTTGCAACATGATGATGGATCATTGCTTGTCAAACGAGACACTGGTATCATGATTTATTTCCGATTTATGCATTAAAAACCATTGTTTAAAAAAAAAGTAGTTTTCAGTACAACTGTGTGTTCAGTTTTCTATCCCCAAAGAGATATCGCTGATCGTTTCAGTTGCTTTGTGTATTTTGTGATTGATATTAGTATTTTTTTAGTCCACCTAAATACTATCCTTGTTTATATATTCTTACATATACAAGGATACTATACAGGTCTGGTGTTCTACCCTTGTGTCTTTTTCCTTCAATCTTTCGCGCCACAATATTCTTTGTTCTAATTTAGTATTATCCGGATATGTTCAAAATAAATATTTCTGAAATTTATATCTTGCCATTCCTTTAAAAAATTGATTTTTGCTATATGTTTTGTAAACTCAACTTCTTCTATTTAAAACCATAATCAGCTTATCCAGAGCAACGTATAGCGTGTCTCTTTTAAAAATTTTCCGGCGCGGCGTATACTTTAATCATAGAGGTGTACATACGGTTGATTGATCGGAGAGTAACCAACCTTATGATTGAAGTTTTTAAGCTGGCGGAATGGGGGGCATTTATATCCACGGTGATCTAGGCTGCAGGCAAAAAAAAACCTTATACAAGGTGCTACAAATTCGGGGTACAAGCATTTGTATCTCGGTAACCGTAATAGATACGAACATGGTTAAATTGGGATAAAGTTGCGCTTTGGGATGTTCACCAAGATGCCATCAAAAAAGTTTTAAAAATTTCAAAGATTGCCGATTTTTTTCGAAAAACGGATTTTTTGAAAATCAATTTTATTTTTTCCTGTCGTTACTTGTTAGAAAATTAAAATACTAATTGCACATTCTTATAGCCACTTACTGTTAGGGCTATCTGATAGTATTTTTAGATTTTCAAATTAGCTGATAATTTGTGAGATACAGAGGCCTACTTAATTTTTTTTAAATATGGACCTACATTTTTTATTTCAGATTTTGAAAGAACTCGGTCTCCTGAGTACAATGGTATGATATAAAATGATATGATATAATAAAAAAAAATATATACTACATTTCATATAGTATCGCATTCTTATAACCTAAATTATTTTTTTCTCTTTTAAATACAAGTCGGAAACGAATGGATATGTCTTATGCTCTATTTCGAAGGTGATTGGTGTACAGGTTGTCCCATTTTAGTATTTTTTATGAAGTTTCTCGTTTATGAGTAGAGGCACAAAGATGCGGTTTTCACATAATTTTGCTACTTTTTTTTATAAAACCAGAGATGCTTTACATAGATTTGTCCTAGCCTTTTTAATATCTGAAATATAGAGCGAATTTGAAAACATTGCATTTTTCGACCTTCTTTATATCTTACCTATCGAAAAGATGGAAACTGCCTTCCAGAGAGTTTTTCACATAGAATCCAGTAGCGTAACTAGTTTTATCTGCGAGCTATCATTTTCAAAATATAACTGAAATTTATGTTTTTGTTTAATTAGATACCTTGTATATTTTACCACTGTCTGAAAATGAACTTGTGCAGCTTTTAGATAACAGACTGTCAATTATAGATATTTTTGATGCGCTTGTGCAATAATTTTACACACAAAAACTAGCGTGGAATAGCCAATATCTGCAATTTGATGTCGAATAACTTATTTGATTGTTTTGATTAAGCTAATTTAAACCAGCCGCCTATTTTAAAAAGTAAAAAGTTGAATGATGCATATTTTTACATTGTTTATGAAAATAAGTAGGGAGTCTATTATAATTTTAGAAAGCTCATAACAAGGGAAATGAAACAAAAAAAATATTGTCAAGGTGTATTACTGGTTGCATAACTGCATACTGCTAAATAATCGCAACGTGCATTGAGGAACCTGGCGCATTCGCCAGAAAGTAAAAGAAAATTATAGAATTCTTTAGAAAAATCTAGAAACAATCGCCAGGGGGTATATAAGGCCCGCGCTTTGACAGTTGGACAAGTCTGAAGATAGTCTGAAGTCTGAAGTTTGAAAATACCGCGAAATACCGTTAGAGTAATAGTAGTTGCATAAATTGTGTTGTAAATAGTATAAGTTGTGTGTACAGAGTGAAATAAATAAATTCGTTAAGTATTTTATCGTGAGTTTAAATAGTGGACCCACGGAATACGTAACAATATTATACAGAGTATACATCCGGTTACGCTACTGAATTCTACGTGAAAAACTCAATGGGACTGAGTTTCCATTTTTTTAAGTTACAAGATAACCGAGTATAATAAATACGACAATTCCAAATTCGTCCTGAATTTCAAGAACTTAGAGGGCTAAGACAAATCGGTGTGTAGGATATTTAGTTTCAAAAAAAGTAGCAGTAATGTAAAAACCGCATCTTTGTCCCTCTACTCGTAGACAAACACTGCAAAAATTCATGATAATGAGACACCCTGTACTATATAATAATTGCAACTTTCGTCCCAACACCGATTTTGTATCTCTTGTCTTGTCTTGTCTCTAATTTCTGAGATATTAATGGACCATATCAAAATTAGTAATTTTGATATGGACCATAGTAAATAACTTTGTATCCAGTATCCAGTAGTACGAGCCCTAACAACTATATGTTGGGACAAGGTCATATTTTGGAATTATTGCCCTGGTTTTTCAAAATAACTGAAAAATATATGTTTAATTTTTTAAATATAAACATAGCCATATATCCTAAACAACTTGACAATATTTTTATGAATTTGTAAATCAATCCATATTTACAGTAGCGGATTTTGTTCATAAAAGGACAAATTTGCTGACAACTAAATGTTGGGACAAGTATTTTAAATAATTAATATCATCATAGACGGCTTTGCTATAAACGTCACAAATGTCGCAAACTGTTTACTTCAGCATTGACAGCTTGTAAGTGACTCGATACTTTGAGTAGTGAGATTTACTGTAAGTCATTTTAATTTTCAATTTTGTTAATTATTTAATTCAAAGTAATGGTCCGTGGAAAAGCTACAAATCAAAAACTACGCGAAATTATCATTCATCAATACAGTACGGGAAAAACAATTCGAAAAATTTCTGATGATTTAAGTACTCCAAAAACCACGGTCTTTAATATAATAAAAAAAATACGGTGAATCTGCCAATGTAGACGTTAGAGGTAAAAGTTCGGGAAGGCCAAAAGTTTGTATCTCAAAGAGATTTACGAAATTTAGTAAAAATTTGCAAGTCTGCGAGAAGAAGTACTCTTTGCGAATTAACAGTTAAATGGAATACTGTAACTGGTTTAAATATATCAAGAGAATGTTGCCGAAAATATATCCATAAATGCGGTCTGGGGTTTTACAAGGTAAACTTTATTTTGTGTGGATAATCAATTACCTGAAGATGATTGATACAAATTCTTATTTAGGCCAATGAAAAACCGCTACTGACAGAAATTCAGAAGAAAAATCGCTACAATTTGGCAAAATCTAATTTTTTGTTGCACATGTTTGCGTTGGAGATCATCGAAAACGAATAATACGAAATAAAGCAGAAGCCTTTCATAAAGATTGCTTAAAGAGGGTTGTTAAATTTCCTAAGGGGATTATGGTTTGGGGTTGCATGTCAGCAAGAGGTTTGGGCAAATTAAATTTTATACATGGCACTGTTAACGCCCAAAAATATCAACATATACTTGGGACCTCACTTTTGCCTAGTGCTCAAGAATTGTTTCCAAACGAAAACTATATTTTCCAACAAGATGGAGCATTGTGCCATTCAGCAAAATTAACTAAAAATTGGTTCAGTAATAATAATATAAAAGTTCTATCCCATCCTGCAAGTAGTCCGGACCTCAATGTTATAGAAACTGTGTGGCATAAAATGAAGCAATATTTAAGGAACCACCCTCAACGGACAATTTTTGATTGGTGGGCAAAACTGCAGGAAATTTGGGATAATTTTTCTCCTCAAATGTGCCAATCTTTGGTAAATACAATGCCATTAAGAGTTCAGGCAGTTGTTAAGGCGAAAGGTGATGTAACTCCGTATTAAACAAATTTCTTGTTGTGCTGTTCCAATATATAGTTGTCAGCAAATTTGGCTTGATTTTGACAAAATAAGCTATTATCAAAAGTGATTTGTTTGCAAAGTTATAAAAATGTAGTAAAATTGTCTAGATCATATTGTAATGTTTGAATTTAGAATAATAAACAAAATAAATTGAGTCGTTTTAACAAATTACTATTTTTAATTGCAAAAAAGACCTTATCCCAACATATAGTTGTTAGGGCTCGTAGTATATAAATTAAAACTGCTTTTTAGTGTGGGGCTACTCTAAGAAGTGTCCTAAAAAAAACAAAATAAGACAAAGAGTGCATTTACCAGGTACCTTCCGCGAGTGCGGTGAGTCGTATACTGGAAAGACTAAACGTTCTCTATATGTACGACTTGACAAACATAAAAAAATATACAATGATGGTGAAAAATGAAGCCGGGAATTGCAGATCATGTGTGGTCCAAGCACCACAATATAAAATGCCGGTTGGATGCCCGGGTTGTGAAAAAAAAACTATTGGAAAAAACGCGAATTTAAAGAGGCCGTATTCATATCTAGCAATAATAAAATCTTTAGCAATAGAAGTACGGAAATTTCTTGGTATTCTCAGTAAAAAACCTCATGCTTAACTGCACCAAACTTCTTCACAGGTGCATGCTCGGTTCTAGTATATAAGCTCAGTAGTTTTAGAACTGAGATTATTTCACACTTGATAACAATCAATGATACTTCTGACCGAAACGTTGATAAGCAAAATAAATAAAGATAATCGTCCCCCAAGTTCAAAATTCTTTTAGTTTCAATACTAAATCATCAATCACCACATTCAAAGTAATAACTTTGTAGCTTCAATTTTAATAACGTACTCACCTAAGGTAAATCTTCCCATCCCTTCCTATCACTAACGCAACAGTACTGTACGTTTTCTTATTCTCCCATTCTACTCTATCGACATCGACTAGTTTCACTTTGAACAAAAACTGTCCCATCTCGGAAATCCTTCAAAAGGAAACAATAATTAAAATAAAATCCTCTCTTTCTCGCTCTACCATTCATTCCGCAACCTTTCATTTCTTTTTCAATCTTACCTATCGGCTCCGGAGGCCCTCCTGAAACAATGGAGATAATCTCGCGTCAAAATGAAATATCTCTCTTTCCATCTGCTGAATAGCTTGTCTCTCTGTTGCCATAGGAGGCCCTTCTTAATGGCGTGCGTCGACTCTTTGCCGTAATTACTGGTCGACAAAAGGGACTGAAACAGAAGAAAAACGAACTGTTGAAATAAAAGGGCGAGCATTCAATAGAAACAGTATTCCGGTCTGGGGGAAATCATATAAGGTGGCGGATAAGAACTATATACAAGAGATTGGTTTTTGTTTCAATTCAAAAGGGTATTATAGTGTCATGTTATACTAAAGGTAATGTGGTAGGATATTGTCCTGTGTGATATTATGTTTCAATACGAGTAGGTAGACATCCAGTAGTATACACGTTTTAGGGTGGCTGCAACGACGCACAGTGGTGTGAAACTGATAATATAACGAAAAAAACCCTATATTTCCTAAACCGTTAATCCAATCGCATTGGGACGAATTTTATTCTATTCAGCTTAATAAAATACATCAAATAACATGGTTTAATAAATTTATTTAAAAGTAAACTGAGCACCAATTGAAACGTAAAGTGAAAATTTTTGCATCAAGTTGAACTTCTTGTATTTTCTAAACTATTGAAGGCATTTTGAATTGCTAGCCAGATTCTGAAACGCTTTTTTATCGACTGTCGAACCGTTCTTTGCAGTTTATTTAATTATTGGCCAATACCCATAATACAGGGTAAAACAAAAATGCGTGCATTTTTTACAAAATTTTAAGTGACCTCCATTTTGTGGGGGATGGAGGATTTCCATTATTTGTGGGTATTTTAAAAGAGCTGTTTTATACCTCGGGACGTTTTTGAGTTTTTTTGGGGTATCGCTCTCCATTGCGATGTTTTCCTTTTTTTATGATTTTCGGTAAGGATTTAATTCTAATAAATTTATCTCATTATGAAATTAATATATTGTATTTTTGAGTATTATGCGTATTAACTAATTATTATACTGTATCGTTAATGAAAAAGTGTTAAATGCTTCTTTTGTTATGCCAAGATACATAATAAAACCTGTTCATATAATTTAAATATACCAGCTAGATAAATTTTTAACGCCCTGTATAACTGTAACACTTTTTAGTTTTATAAAATTATTTGTTTGCTTTATTTAATTGTACATTAAAATGTATAATGCTTAAAAATACGATATTTTCATTTCACAATGAGATAAAATTATTGGTATTAAAACTCTACCGTCAATCATAAGAATATCGAAAACATCGCAATGGAGAGCGATAGCCAAAAAAACTCATAAACGTCCCGAGGTATAAAACACCTCCTTCAAACTACCCACAAAAAATGGATTTCCTCCATCCCCCCACAAAATGAGGCTCACTTAAAATTTTGTTAAAAATGCGCGCATTTTTGTTTTACCCTGTATTATGGGTCCTGACCAATAATTGAAAAAAACTGCAAAGAACGGTTCGATAGTCGATAAAACAATGTTTTAGAATCTGGCTGGCAAATTCAAAATTCCTTCAAAAGTTTAAAAAATAGAAGAAGTTATAATAAGAAAATATTACAGCCTACTTCCTTAACACATTTTCTTAATATTTCATATTTATATTTTGTTAAAGATGCGTCAAGAATTAAACCCATGGCTTTTTTAGAGTCAATATACCTCATAGGATCAGCTTGTTTTTCTTTTTTTATTTGTTCTGCTGCTGCGATTATCAATTTATCCGAAAAATCCTCTCGAAGTTTTTTTATTTTATTTTGCTTACTTCTTTTACACAAATCTTCAAAAGGTTTCTCTGGGCGACCTCCGACAGACTTAAGGGATGACTCGTTTCCGGATTCATGATCAGATTCAGGAAAATTAACCAAAAACTCGCCCTGAACCACTCACTATACTTCCGAAAAAAAATTCGTTTCACATGATGCACTTCTCTCAATTTTTTGGCAAAGTTGGGTTGAAATCTTTTTTTTATGGCTCCAGTTACCAGCAACAACCGCTCTCCTTGTAATTCTGGATACTGTTCCCTTAAACCTTGCTCTAAAGGGTACTCGCGGTTAAAGAGTAACTCGCACACAACACTGTATGGTATCACAAATTGCGACATGTTTATTATCCAGCTAATAAGACAAATCCAACAACAATACTGATAAAGTTTTATATCAAAATTTATCTAAAATCGGTTTTCGGCATCCGTAAAAATGAAGAAAGTAGTTTTAATTTTTTTTCACACTGTTTATCTTTTATTTTAAATTAACAAACTTGGCCGAATCTGGCGATAAAATTTATAGAATCACTACTTTAACAGTTGCTTTTTTTAGTCAAATTAATCCGAGACCAAAGCTCGGTAAAGCTTTTTTTTTCTAGTCTGATTAAAGTAAGAAGTAAAGTAATTTTATTAGAAATAGATTCAAACTAAACTGCACCAAAGGCACGGTATATTTTGGCAAAATGATTTTTACTTTTAATGCCCATGGATAAACCAAACAGTTCCTGGGTAATACCGATTTTTAGGAATTAAAAGAAGGGCTGTAAAATATTACTTGTTTTCGCTTTATTTTTGCGCGTTTCGTATATTAAGAAAATTGTCAAAAAGGAGGTGCTGTAAATTCAAAACTAGTAATTAAATTAAAAAAGTAATATTATTATATTGTCTTTGAACTAACTCGATGTAAGGGGATAATTTAAACCCGATTTAACACCCTCTTTTTTGTTTTTTTTTCCATTGCCGAAACCACTGTGCGACGTCCCGTTATCCTGCTGTTAAAACATAACAACTGGTTTTTATATATAAAAACCAATTGTTATGTTTTAACAGCAGCTTTTTGAGTTAAAAAAACTTTTTAGTTCAGTTCAACTACGGTAGCGAGCATAGTTTTAATCACCGGTTTTGCTAGTGTAGCATAATGGCTATAACGACATTTTTTTAAGGTACATAAGAATTATAATTTTAGAAGATGTTCATAAAACATTTAGTTGATTAAAAAAAGTATTCCATTAATATTGCAAATTATATTTTATCCTCTCATAGTATATATCTATTAAATTTTTTGATTATGTAATGGGGACTTTGTTTACTCACTTGTTTCATCGAACTGCTTGAATCCATTTTTCGTTTGATCAAATCAGTATGAGAAACTATAAAGCTTTAAAATGTTTCGGGAGAGTTGAATATCCGGGAACGCCCTAATTACGTTCTCCTTTGCGCGTTAACATTTTTTCGGTCATTTCATTAGAATTTGAAATTGTCACAACACAACACGACGCCTAGTTCGAATTCTTTTTCACTTATTTTTTACTAGCCGAATCAGCGTTATAACTGCGCTAACAAAAAACTTAAATATTATGACAAAACCACGATTTCAATAGGTATTCTTTTAATGCGATCAACATGGCGCACAGTGCTTCGAACATATGGCTCTAGAGGACAAAAATCAAAAACTTCTCTTTTATTGTAAGCAATTTATTCAAACTAGGTTTATTTGAGACAAATGATGAGTACTCTCATTGTACTAAATGATGATGTTCTTAGTCCCACGTTTATGAAAAAAAAATCTTATAAATAATAATAATGTTGGAGCTGTGTTCCATCTAAGCAAATAATAAGTTATAGTATGAAAACGGTGTAAGTATTAAATAAATTCCTGTGATAAAAAAGAATTGAAATAACATTAGAACATGATTCCTACAAAATAAGCCTAATATAAGATAAAAATGTTTTTCTTTAATGAAAAGAAACATTAATGTTATATTTAATTAAAAAAAACTTAAGATACTATAAATTTACTTTAGGACAACAAAATGCATAGATCGTAACTACTCTGATTCAGGAGAATCACTGCTGACAGAATCTTCCAAATTTATAGTATCCAAATCACAGGTAGTTGAAGTATCCTCACATATAAGATATTTCTGTACATCATTTTCTAATATGTTACTTTTTCGCGTTGTTACTGTTCATTTTGTCGGTATGAGGGGTTCGGATGTTAATAGTTACCTCTTTAATAGACCATATCCATATATTATTTTTTCCTTTTCTTGGGTATGAGATTTTATAATCAATTGAAAGATGGACACTTTTTTTATGCGACGTTTCGCTCCAATATAGTGGACTTTTTCAGACACAAGTGGTGTCTTATTTGACTGGAAGGTTCATCAATATCTAATAAGAACATATTTTTTGAAATACAAATAATTTGGAGTTCTTGTCCTTATGATCAAGCCAAGTATTAGCCAGATCGGCATTGCTTATCAATTTTACTCCATCTGAAAAGTATTATAAAATAAAGTTCGTCGCAAGCAGACGCAGGTGAACTATACAAAAATTAAAAGTGTATGAATATGGCAACAAAAATATTCAATAAATACGATATGTTTTGATATGTTTTTTTTAAATGCCTTTTTGAAGTTTGAAAACGTAAAATTTTTATACCCATTTAAGAATCATCTTAAAAAATAAATAAAAAATAAACAATCACGAACTTGTTTAGAAATAAATTTAAAGTACATACCTTGTTTAACAATATCCATAGTGGCTTTCAATTAAGTACGTACCAGAGTTGGTAAGTAATATACAGAACTACTATGAATGTTATTCTTTTCTCTGATGAGATAATAATCGCAAAATTTATTTTTAGTGAAAATATTTGCTAACAAAAACGCTGTTTATGAAAAATAATATACAGGATGGTTGAACATTGCTATAAGCATAAAATTATATATTCAGATATTAGTAAATTTTAACTTATTTTTTGATTTTTGTCCATGGGACGAAGCACTGTGTGGCGGCGTGAAATAGGTACTGATAATTTCTGATTTTTGCCGTTGAAGCGCTGCGGTCGGAATTTGTTGAAATCAACTGAAATGCACCAACCCTATATTAATTAGACTTTTATATTAAGTATCACCATTGCTTGCACAATATAATGTAAATTTGATCTACTATCAATAGAAAATTCATTAAATATATAATACCAATCTGTCAGCTAATCCCTATAGTTCTATCTACTTTATATCATCTCTATCTATTCATAATCATAGCTGTTTAATATTTTTTGTTTCAGATGATAAGACTGGTGTCGCCAATTTATACACATGTTTACGGTATGCACTATAATTAAAAAGGTGCTATAAAAAGATGATAA